TGTAACTTTCAAACCACAAAAAATGTTTACCATGTAATTAATTCCTGGCTCTAAACCAGTGGGGGAGGGTCCCAGCTCAAAAGTGGCCAAAATGACGTGCGCTGACATGCTGCAATACCACCCCGGGCCGATGGGGGTGGACCCAGAAGTAGAATTAGCCAATGCTAACATATAGCATTGGCAAACCTCTCAAAAACGTCTTTACAGGATGGACCAAAAGTTGGCTCTTGGCCCAAAGCTCTGTTCCACATGTGTGTCAATGCTGAGGGGGGTGGATTTTTTTGGTCCACTCTAGTTTACTTGCTGTGAATTTTTTAAGTCTCTCGTTCAAATGAATGGAGCTTGCGCCGGCTGAGGCATGCGCAGATGCGTTTTTTCACAATATTCTTGTGGGCGGGACCACTCGCGGCCATTTTGGATTGCTCCAGTAGAGCACATTTTTTGGCCCATTAGTTAGAACGGCAGAGATAGGCGTGACTCTGTCCGTTAATATATACAGTCTCACAGTTTTCTTCTTTCACTAGTTTTCACATGCATGTATTGTTGGCCTCGGTCACAAAAGAGAGGACCACCCTCACTCCAGCCAATCAGCCCAAAGAGTCAAATAGTGACTCACATGGCTCTTTTTTTACACAAAAGATGGAGATGAAGACAGCAGGATGTGGTTTGTTTCATTCATAACATCTGACTCTTTTTCTGTTGGGTCAAAACATGTATTACATATTATGGAAAAGTTAGGTACCTCAGCTTCATTTGGAAATTACAGTAAGTCTTCTAACCGACCTGATATTAAAGAACTTAAGTCTGAAATTTAACATGTATTGAAAGCCATCACGACTTAGAACAGTTTTAATTGGAAATAAATTAACTCTGTAACTCAAAATAGTTATAAGTTACAACTATTCCTTTTCGTTGGCGCAAGAACGTGTTTAAAATCCATACAAATCTCAGGTTTCGGTCTTGTAACAGCTCTAAGCACCGAGGTAAACCGCCAAACGAGTCACTTACAAGTATAATAAATTGAAAATAGCATTCGTTTTTCCCAATAAGTACGCACCAATTAGAGCAAAAAGGTTAAAAATACCAGCAGTAAACAGCCCAAGTTATGCACATAGGCAATTCCACGCCGGGCCAAAATAGAAGTAATAATTTTGGTTGTTGCCACATCAGCGGGAAAAATGCACAAGACGAGCCAGAAATTATTTATTTAAGAAAAAAAGGTTGATTTCCCAGAACAAAACCGTGTTGGGCAGAGGGGGTCCAGGGCGTGGATGTGGTCTGGAGACCTGTGTTTAAAAAGCCAGGAATGTTTCGCTGCTTCAAGGACTGAAGCCGGAGTCGGGAAAGGGGACACAAAGACTATACTATGGTTTTAGAGAGACTGACCTTATCTGAAATGATCACTATTGCTATTGGTCATAATCTTTGCTGCCAAAATAAACAAACTTTTTTTATGATAACATATTAATATCATTATCTTAAAAAGGTATACAGGAGGATTTTCTATGTTCGGGTGGACCAATCGCGACTATTGGTCCTCCTCCTAATTGTCAATCATTCTGGTGTTACGTGCTCGTCAAATAAGACCAGAGTTTTCTTCAAAAAGTGGAGAGGGCGGCTCTCTCCTAAAATTTTGGGATAATCCTCCAATATGCCTTTCTATGATACGGTAGATCCTGTTTGAGTGCTGACATTTAATTGTTCTCACTGAGGGAAAAATAAAGGTTTATCTGATCTTTATATTATTAAAGCTAATTCCAATGTTTGTGGACCTCAGCATTATTTACACAAAGGAATGTCTACGTTCTGTATCATATCTCTGTTAGACAATAATATAATGTATGGTCAAAACTAAACGGTTTTTTTGTTCGTCAATGTCTCCCTCCTCTGATTATACCTAAAGCTAGCGTCCCCAACTTTCAAACCAGAAATTGTAGACCTTAATTCATTCATTTGTGACATGGATTTCGTTGCATGGCACTAGTTCCTCGCACTGAAAACAGTTTGCTTCTATCTCTGTTCATGTGTCCTCCGTCACATCTTTCGATCAGATATTTTAAGGATGAAATCATTGAAAAAAGAGGGTCGCCTTCAGCCAATCAGCTTTCAGCCCAAATAGTGACTTTTTTATTGAGAAAATGACATTAATGGTCCATCTAACCTCTTATTGTTAACCTGTATTTGGTATTATTTCTTTGACTTAAACTTTACTGCATTTTGGCTTCCTTTTCTTGATTTCACCTCACAACAAGTCAGGAGGAATGGGCAAGAATTACAGTGACCGATTCTGTGTCGAGCGAGTAGATGTCTCTCACCGTGAGCTTGTGCGGCCGTGGCGTGGGAGTACCCCAGAGCTAGCAGAGCGCTCCCCACCAGCCCAGAGAACGGGACGTCTCTCCGAACCAGCGCGAACTCTGCCCTCTGCACCAGGCCCTCCCTCTCCTCCACACACGCTGGACCCACCACGCAGAACACCGGGATCATCAGGCCTAAGAGAACAGCAGGACAGACACACACATGTGAAAGGGTTCTCCCATTAAAGTTTGGGTACCTATAACTTAAATAATTATCTGTCTGAAAACTCTGATCAGAGGCCAAAAAGATATGAAAACTAGAGATAAAAGCTTTACCGACACAGTTTAAAGGTGAGGAATTACCAACATCAATGTTATTTACATATTTGCATTTGTTGTGCGTTGAAAATTACGTACCCTAGCTTTAAATGGCTTGAGTTCAAAATGTTTAAATTATATATATTTTTGTAGTTTTCACAGATTGATGTGTTGTTTGACATTTTTAACCCAGTCCAATTTGGGTTTTCTCTTTTTGTTTTGACCCGATTCCAACTGGCCATTTTGAGATAGAAGATAAGAAAACCTTTTTTCGTCCCACAGTGGGGAAAGTTCAGGGTTGCAGCGCACATACAGAACAGTATTACGAGCACAGAAGTTTCACACAAAATATACAGAGATAGCTAGCTGTAATTTTTTAGCCTTTTATCCCCTATGGTCGCAGCTACAGGGAGCCTCTGGGCCAGGACCAGGACCAAGACAAGGACCAGGACCAGCAGCAGCAGCAGCTAGAGACAGTTTTTAATTCTCTCACCCTGTTGAAGCCCATTAGATGCACTTTAATGTAATGTAATATAATGAATGTATATACAGTTTTCACAATAGCAACTTTGTACAGTCCCACACATGTACAAATGTATTTACTGTATCTGTGTTGTAAACATTATCTTATACTTGCACTATTGCACTGGTTCAATGCTAATCTTCATTTTGTTGACAATTTGTAATGACAATAAAGTGGAAGTCTAGTCTAGTCTAATTAGGTTAGAAAATCTAATCTAACCTAATTTCTTCTTAAATTTGTCTTGAGGCCTGTAATTATGTGGACGTTTCCAATATTCCATAAAAGAGTTAAAACCATAATATTACATGTATATGCTTTGCTATCGTTAATAAACAATAGTATATTGTTTTGTGTCAGAATAAACTCGTCACATCTTCAATAAAAAGCTAGGCTCCGTTTTACAGGGCCCTCACTTGGTTTCCTGCTAAATAATAAACAATAATGAATAATGCATGGAACTATAGATGTTGTGTCTCACCCCCTTGTGTTTTGAGTGCGCTGTTGTCGCTGTGGTAGTTTTTGTTTGTCCCTGCCGAGCTGTCGTTGAGCTCCAGAACTGAGGAACTGGAGGCCGGACTGTCCCCGCTGCAGGGCCTCTGCTCTGGGCTGGACATGTCGCCCACACTGGACTGCTCCGTCTGATCCATGAGACAGAGACGACCTGTGTGGAAATGAAACAAGATACAAGGATTTAGCTCATACTATGTCCTAAAAATGAACACAATTATCTTTCTTCTAGATCTTATAACATCATGAAACATACAGCCACAGTAGTAAAGTCAAAGTTATCCATTATTTTATTTGGAGGAATGGGCCAGAATTCCAGCCACATATCAGCCGAATCAAGGCAAATACTTAAAAACTTGTACAACATTTTCCATAACAAAATATACATACAAACATTCATTTTTAACTGGATGTGGATGAAGCAGTCAAAAAATCAAATAGTTTAAACGCAATTCTACCAATTATTCATGACCGCTCGTGGAATTCAGACGATAGAGTGGCAGAGAGAGGGTGGTCCTCTCTTTTTCAATTTTCTGTCTGAAAGAGTTGATCGAATGATAGAGGCCAACATACATGCATGGAAAACCAGAGATAGAGACTAGAGACATGTATGTAGTTCCATTTTGGTGGTTTGAAAGTTACATACAATACCTTACAACATGTATGAGGGTTTGTACTGTACCTGGGATCAAACCACCAACCTACTGGTCAAAAATGATCATGATTTTCAAGCAATACTATCCATAAATTAGCTTTAAGTTCATAATAGAAAAAAACAACGTATTTTTTCAGGACTTCAAAATGCTGGGATATTCTAACACCTATCAACAAAGACACAAAGTCAGGATTTGGCAACATTTATTAAAACAATATTTCAAATCAAGCCATTTTTTAACCCAGTATGAAGCAGTGAGTGTTGTTTTCCTTTGGGATTTCAGTACACGACCAATAAAAATCTCTAAAATGTGATAACATGGTGATTTGAGAGAGCTGTATTAAACATGTCTCTTTCTCGCAGACGTGTGACCACTTCAAAAAACACATTTATGGCTTTTTGAACCGCAGCCAAGACATGTGGAGCCCAAATGCATCCATCCACTCAATAATCATGTATTATTATATCATCTGAATTTAAATCATATTTGCGTGTGAATCTGCAAGTGTTGGTTCAATTTATTTATTTTTAAACTAAAAAAACAAACGATTTTTTTGTAGAAAAAGTTGACAGTAATTTTTATACAAGAGATTTCTCATTTGTATTCAGAAATACATGTGGAAATGCTGAGTCAGCCCTGGGAAAGGTTTGCATGTTGTTAGGACCTGAGTCGACGCGGGACAACAGTGGGAAAGGTTGGCGTGCTGTTTGGACCCATGTTGAAAACTGTTTTAGCCACAAAGGTCCATTTTTTATTTTCCGGTTAAGTACCCCAGCTTTATGTCTGGAGCCCGGTTTTAAAGGAAAGAGCAGTATTGTCCCCTTTTTAAAAACCTTTCACCCGCATGTAAGTGACGGCTAGAAAACTGTTTTTTTCTCCTCAGTGGGAATGAGGCTGTAGTGAGATTTTGTAAACATATTTATTATGTACTATCCGGTATTTCAGAAAGCAATTAGTGAGTGATCCATTAATTACAGTTCCAGCCCGAGCTAAATAGAATTGACTATGTCCTAATATTATTTTGAGTCTAAAAAATGATCACATGTTTTCAGATAAGAGACTTCTTGTGTTTGTGAATGCAGTTAGAAGGATACTATCAAAGATGCACTCACTCATTGAATACTAAAACCACAAGTTTACACACGCATATACAACCCAAATTTGTTCAACAATGCCATATATTTAAAATCAAGTTTATGTACAAGATGAATTTGGTCAAAAATACACTATTTTGCCACCATTTGTAATAAGTTTTAAGCACTATTGAATGTCAGTGTGTGAAAGAGCTTCTTTAAAACGCATCAGAGCATGTGTTCATATAAACAGTTTGTGATTCATGTTTCCTGTATGTATTTTGAAAATGTTCCCAAAAAGTTAAAATCTATCCATTAACATTCTTTATAACATTATTTCAGTTAAGTTCAAGTGTTTATGTATTTTAAATGAACTCTTGAACTTTTAAGACATCAGATATGTAAGAAAAGTACAGCTGGAACAGTTCATCTGGGCCCACCCCCTATTGTCAAAAACACCTGTATATACTGTATATTTAATGATGAGAGGTCCACATGAGTGGCTGTGCACTCTGTGGAGCTCGGAGTAGAGCTGTTGCTTCTCCACGTGGAGAGGAGCCAGTTGGTGGGACTCTGCATCAGTTTGGGACTCCTCCTGGATGCCTCCGTGGAGAGGTGTTCGGGGCATGTTCCACCAGGAGACGAGACCCGGGGAAGACCCAGGACACAGAGGGACTCTCAGCTGGAAAAGCCTCGGGATTCTCTGGATGAGCTGGAGGTATAGTGTGTGTGTGGAGACGGAAGTCTGTGTCTGACTTTAGACTGCTACACTCATGACCCGGCAACGGATAAAGTAGAAAATGGATGGATGGATAACCACATTTGTAATATTACTGCAGAGATCCCAGTGAAATCATAATGATTATGACCATAAAGTAAGAGTGATAGAAAGAGCTCACCTGTTAAATGCTGGATTGTAAATGAAAATTAGCATCCATTTGATTTTAAAAAAAAAAGGCTTAAAAGCTGTTGAAAAGAGCCAGGAATAGCCAAATATGCATGCACAAAGTGAAAATACTACTACTGCTACTACAGCTGCTGCCTACAGTGAGTGAGAGAGAGAGAGAATGGGAGGGGCTAATGCATTTACCAGTGGATGCAATTGGCTTCTGTTCAGATACACGAAGGAAAGTGTCAAATGAATGATTCATTTTGCCACAAAACAAGCAAAAACTAAAAATATCTGAAGGGTGAGAGATGGTGGGTCTGCTGAGGCAAAGAGCAGAGGTTATTTTGTGGCAGTTGTGTTTTCTGTTCAGTGTACGTTTGATTTTAGGACAGATTTTGAGGATACATTTTCAATTTTAATAAACTGCTCTACTCTAAATTAATTTCGGCATTTAGAAGTACACTGAAATAAATGCAGTCTGAAAATAAAAGGCAAGCTGATACATTTTATCACTGTAAATCCTTATGGTTTTATTAACATAGTTAACCAATTGAATTATAAATTATAGAAGCATTCTTAAAGCAACAGTGCATCACCATTTGGAGTTGTGGGGTGAAAAAAACGTTATTTGCTGCTGCTGCTGCTAGTGCTGCTGCTACTTCTACTGTTACTCCTACTACTACAGCTACTGATACTACAATTACCATGTTCTAACAAAAAGACAACACAATTGAAATATCCTTGTAAATGTTTAAGTAGTACAGGTACCCCTGGTTGGGAAACACTATTGAAAACAGTTGTAATTAAAGCCGCAAGCGGCGATGAAAGGCCTCGCCCCTCTTGCGACCGCCTCCTGGGCGCCAGTCCCACAAGCGTCACGCAGACGAATTGGCAGCCCGATCTGACCAGGATTACATATATAAAAGTTCATTTATATGATAAAGTGCGTCCCTAGTGGTCACCTCCGGGACATGCACCCTCTACGTAGAGTAGTATTTTGCTCGTACAGATGTAAAGATTTGATTTTGCAACTTTGGTGAAGATCGGAAAAGTTTAGGTCAGAAGCCTTACATAGGTGGCGCTGTAGAGTCATATTAGGTGTGTGTTTTCACACCATTACTCTCAGGCCATTACCAACTGTTAGTGATGTGAGTTTCAGCTCTGTAGGTCTGAGCCTGTGGTCAGGAGAGCATCAAACATGGAGAAATTCCCCACTACCTTGCATGAAAACGATAACAAAATTCTAACTTTTATGCGATGATTACATAACTTCAATCCGTCCAGATATAGAAATGACATGGTAGAAGTCTGTGCGATGAAAATCCAGGGACTAGTACGAAGCCAAAAATGCAACACATTGAACTGCCTGTAGGTGGCGCTGTTGCACTCACAGTTGTGTGTTGCATATCGTTGTGTTCAGGGTCATACGTTGTATTTCTGAATTCATTTTTAGCCTCATCGGACAAACATTTTGCCCTAAAAAGCTCATTTATTCACTTTCCAGCGCCCCCAGTGGTCAGGTGTAGGACTTACAACTTTTGCGTAATGTAATGTTTTGCTCGTGTCGGTCCAGAGAATACACTCAGCGATTTTCGGGCCGATCCGAGCACTAGTGCCCTATTACTTTCCGACAGGTGGCGCTAAAGAGCTCAAATTGGGCGAATGATTTTAGTGTCATTGCGTTCAGGCCATAACCTAATATTACTGATGTGAGTCTCAGCTCTGTAGGTCTGAGCCTGTGGCCCTCAGGGCTCAGCGAAAATGGCCAAAACGAAGGCCTTATTCGCCATGGCGAGGGACGAAAACGGTGAAGATTTTCTAACTTTTTTTCGATGATTATATAACTTCAATCCGTCCAGAGCGGGAAATGACGTGGTAGAACTCTGTGTGATGAAAAACCAGGGACTAGTTCGAATTTATAAATGAAAAGTCAAATTAGTGGAGAAACTTCGGCCCCTCATGGCCGACTTCCTGTCGGTCCCAGACATGTGCTTAGAACGGCTTTTATGCTCGTCTCATAGAGATCTATCACTCATCCGAATTTCGTGTACCTACTCCAATATTTGAAAAAAAATCCCCAGAGGGTCAAAAAAAATGAAATTTCTAGGGGGCGTTATAGAGTCGGCGAGCGTCGGACAATCTGGAAACGTTCATTTTATCAAATTTTTCGCCGGACCGGTCGTTTTAGACCCCCCATGTGCAGACTTTCGTGCATGTCTTCAGGGTCAAAAAAAAAGAATAATATGAAACCGGTGAATAACAATAGGCCTCCCCAATACTTCGTATTGGCTCGGCCTAATAATAATTGTTTTAACATGATCTTCTGAATTCAGACAAGCCAAAAAGATAATCTTCAAAATATGCTTTATGTCTTTTGTTTTGGAATTTAAAAGGGACAGTTGCTTTGGAAATTCTATTTCACTAATACTCACTAATTGTGTTTTTAATCCTTCTTTTGAGCAGCGGCATCTTCATAAACTGTCAGAATCTATGTGTTCAAATGCTGCTCTCTTGTGGCGGTACATAGTATTACACTAAAGTCCAAGTGAGGTCATTTATGTTTTCAAATATGGTAATGATAGTGATATTTCCTCTCTTACTTAATAAAGCACATTGAGTTTCCTTAAATAAACAAATAAACTTACCGTGCCTTTCATTCCAATACTTTATATAGTTTCCAAAAAATATTAAGAGGAAATATGTACAAGGAGCAGCGTTTTAGTTTTCAAAGTTTCAATGTTTGAAATCATTGCTCAGTTGGTAGAGCATTGGCCTTCAGGCCTGAAGGTCGTGGGTTCAATTCCCACCTTGACACCTTCTCCACCGACTCCCACTGATGACTGCTGTCGTTGTGTCCTTGGGCAAGACACTTAACCCCACTTTGCCCAAAGCCCAGAGAGCAGCCATCCTTCTGTGGACTCACCACCTGCAGAGGGTCAGTGAGGGGCTGGTGCTATGAGACTTGGGTGGCATCTCTGATTGCCACCCCCCTGACCCAGAAATGGATTAAAGGGTAGAAAATGGATGGAATGTTTGAAATCCATATTTATGTATTTAGCCCCATTTCCACCAGCCCTACTTAACTCTGCTCTGATGCAAAAGTCTTACTGGAAGCCATGGTGACCCAGGAATTTCTCTGGACACAGGATTGTTTTGAGTAGGTTTCTAGGATACGGTACCAGATACTTGAGCAACGGAAACACAACTAGGTAGATTACAGAGATTACAGGATTACAGGTAGAGTAGAGTACAGCAGAATAGAGCAGAGCGGAGTAGAGCAGAGTAGAGTAGAGTAGAGTAGAGCAAAGCAGAGTAGATCGGAGCAGAGCAGAGTAGAGCGGAGCAGAGCAAAGTAAAGTAAAGAGTAAAGTAAAGAGTAGAGTAGAGTAGAGTAGAGTAGAGTAGAGCAGAATAGAGCAGAGCGGAGTAGAGTAGAGTAGAGTAGAGTAGAGTAGAGTAGAGTAGAGCAAAGCAGAGTAGATCGGAGCAGAGCAGAGTAGAGCGGAGCAGAGCAAAGTAAAGTAAAGAGTAGAGTAGAGTAGAGTAGAGTAGAGTAGAGTAGAGTGGAGTGGAGTGGAGCGGAGCAGAGCAAAGTAAAGTAAAGTAAAGTAAAGTAAAGTAAAGTAAAGTAAAGAGTAGAGCAGAGCAGAGCAAAGCAAAGCAAAGCAGAGCAGAGTAGAGTAGAGTAGAGTAGAGTAGAGTAGAGTAGAGTAGAGTAGAGTAGAGTAGAGTAGAGTGGAATGGAGTGGAGTGGAGTGGAGTGGAGTGGAGTGGAGCGGAGCGGAGCAAAGTAAAGTAAAGTAAAGTAAAGTAAAGTAAAGTAAAGTAAAGTAAAGAGTAGAGCAGAGCAGAGCAAAGCAAAGCAGAGTAGAGTAGAGTAGAGTAGAGTAGAGTAGAGTAGAGTAGAGTAGAGTAGAGTAGAGTAGAGCAGAGCAGAGCAGAGCAGAGCAGAGCAGAGTAGAGTAGAGTAGAGCAGAGTAGAGTGGAGCGGAGCCGAGCAAAGTAAAGTAAAGAGTAGAGTAGAGTAGAGTAGAGTAGAGTAGAGTAGAGTAGAGTAGAGTAGAGCGGAGCAGAGCAAAGTAAAGTAAAGTAAAGAGCAGAGCAAAGCAAAGCAGAGTAGAGTAGAGTAGAGTAGAGTAGAGTAGAGTAGAGTAGAGTAGAGTGGAGTGGAGTGGAGCGGAGCAGAGCAAAGTAAAGTAAAGTAAAGTAAAGTAAAGTAAAGTAAAGTAAAGAGTAGAGCAGAGCAGAGCAAAGCAAAGCAAAGCAGAGCAGAGTAGAGTAGAGTAGAGTAGAGTAGAGTAGAGTAGAGTAGAGTAGAGTAGAGTAGAGTAGAGTGGAATGGAGTGGAGTGGAGTGGAGTGGAGTGGAGTGGAGTGGAGCGGAGCGGAGCAAAGTAAAGTAAAGTAAAGTAAAGTAAAGTAAAGTAAAGTAAAGTAAAGAGTAGAGCAGAGCAGAGCAAAGCAAAGCAGAGTAGAGTAGAGTAGAGTAGAGTAGAGTAGAGTAGAGTAGAGTAGAGTAGAGTAGAGCAGAGCAGAGCAGAGCAGAGCAGAGCAGAGTAGAGTAGAGTAGAGCAGAGTAGAGTGGAGCGGAGCCGAGCAAAGTAAAGTAAAGAGTAGAGTAGAGTAGAGTAGAGTAGAGTAGAGTAGAGTAGAGTAGAGCGGAGCAGAGCAAAGTAAAGTAAAGTAAAGAGCAGAGCAAAGCAAAGCAGAGTAGAGTAGAGTAGAGTAGAGCGGAGCAGAGCAAAGCAAAGTAAAGTAAAGTAAAGTAAAGAGTAGAGCAGAGCAGAGCAGAGCAGAGCAAAGCAGAGCAGAGCAGAGCAGAGCAGAGTAGAGTAGAGTAGAGTAGAGCAGAGCAGAGCAGAGCAGAGTAGAGTAGAGTAGAGTAAAGTAAAGAGTAGAGCAGAGCAGAGCAGAGCAGAGTAGAGTAGAGTAGAGTAGAGTAGAGTAGAGTAGAGTAGAGTAGAGTAGAGTAGAGTAGAGTGGAGCGGAGCAGAGCAAAGTAAAGTAAAGAGCAGAGCAGAGCAGAGCAGCAGAGTAGAGTAGAGTAGAGTAGAGTAGAGCAGAGCAGAGCAGAGCAGAGCAGAGCAGAGTAGAGTAGAGTAGAGCAGAGCAGAGCAGAGCGGAGCGGAGCCGAGCAGCAAAGTAAAGTAAAGAGTAGAGCAGAGCAGAGTAGAGTAGAGTAGAGTAGAGTGGAGCGGAGCGGAGCAGAGCAGAGCAAAGTAAAGTAAAGTAAAGTAAAGAGTAGAGCAGAGCAGAGCAGAGCAGAGCAGAGCAGAGTAGAGTAGAGTAGAGCGGAGCAGAGCAAAGTAAAGTAAAGTAAAGTAAAGAGTAGAGCAGAGCAGAGCAGAGCAGAGCAGAGCAGAGTAGAGTAGAGTAGAGTAGAGTAGAGTAGAGCAGAGCAGAGCAGAGCAGAGCGGAGCGGAGCAGAGCAAAGCAAAGCAAAGTAAAGAGTAGAGCAGAGCAGAGCAGAGCAGAGTAAGTAAGTAAGTAAGTAATCTTTATTTATATACCGCCTTTTCACTGCACATCGGAGTCTCAAAGCGGTTTACACTTGTTATTTTTTGGGAGTGGGGCCAGTACAGGAGGCACATGCCAGACCTATTGTACATATTTTTAGTGGTAGGGGAAACCGGAGCACCCGGAGGAAACCTACGCAGACACGGGGAGAACATGCAAACTCCACTCAGAAAGGCCCTGGTCCAACCGGGATTCGAACCCAGGACCTTCTTGCTGAGAGGCGAGAGTGCTATCCACTCAGCCACCGTGCCGCTCTGCTCTGCCGTGCTCTGCATAGCAGAGCAGAGCAGAGCAGAGCAGAGCAGAGCAGAGCAGAGCAGAGCAGAGCAGAGCAGAGCAGAGCAGAGCAGAGCAGAGCAGAGCAGAGCAGAGCAGAGCAGAGCAGAGTAGAGTAGAGTAGAGCAGAGCAGAGCAGAGTAGAGTGGAGTGGAGTGGAGCGGAGCAGAGCAAAGCAAAGCAAAGTAAAGAGCAGAGCAGAGCAGAGCAGAGAAGAGCAGAGCAGAGCAGAGCAGAGCAGAGTAGAGTAGAGTAGAGTAGAGTAGAGTAGAGTAGAGCAGAGCAGAGCAGAGGAGAGCAGAGCAGAGCAGAGCAGAGCAGAGCAGAGTAGAGTAGAGTAGAGTAGAGTAGAGTAGAGTAGAGTAGAGTAGATCAGAGTTGAGCGGAGCAGAGTAGAGTAGAGTAGAGTTGATTAGAGCAAAGTAGAGTAGAGCAGAGACTTTCATTTGGACTTGGCTGAAACTGAAATAACTACATTAAATTAAATACAGTCATTAATGTGGTAGAACTTGACTTCATAATAAGCCGAGTATTAGTTTAAAAGTAGAGACTAAATCTTCCCCTTTATTAAAGTAACAATATCCCACGTTTTATTTTCATGATTATGAATTGTACCTCAGAGTTTTCTGTCTTCTGTCGCTCCTCTTCCTCCAAAAGCAGCGCTCGTCTTCACACCTGCTGTTAACATGTGTTTCAGAGACAGCACCATATAAGGGACTATGAAAGTATCGGCGTGACAACGTACAGCAGCCATATTGGACAGAAAAGGTCATTGAAACTAACGTGAAGCTGGAATTTTTTTTTTTGTGTGTGTCTCTTTTGGTTTTCAAACTATGAAATCAAACCCAGTCCCTCGCTCTCAAAACAGTATCTCTCACTAATTTTCATGTATTTTTAGCCTCTGTCACATCTTTAGATCAGTTTTTTTCAGACATAAAAGTGAAAAAGAGAGGACAGCCTTCACTCAGCCAATCAGCTCTCAGCCCAAAGAGTCAAATAGTGACTCACAAGGCTTGTTCTTACACAAAAGATAACATGTTTTCTATCAAGATGAAAACAGCATGTTGTGGTCTGATTTGTTCACAATATTTAAAGTATTAGTATATTTAAACAATATTTAAAGTTTGCAAGACTCTTTCTGTTTTTATATATATGTATTATCAAGTAAGATATCCCAGGATTAAACTGGTCATTTAATTGTTCTACCAATCACATAATTAACTATCTCTCTGGCCTGCTCTCTCCCCGGTCTCTCTCTCAGGCCTCTCCTCTGGTCTCTCTCTGGTCTCTCTCTCTAGTCTATCTCTCTCCAGTCACTCTCTCAGGCCTCTCCTCTGGTCTCTCTCTGGTCTCCCTCTCCAGGCTCTCTCTCTGATCCCCCTCTCTGTGGCCTCTCTCTGGCCTCTCTCTGCTCTGTTTCTGATCCCTCCCTGGTCTCTTTCTAGTCCTTGCAACAGGGTGATTTGTTCACAGGACTACCATGATCTTCCCTTCCCCGTGCTCTGCATTTTACAGTGCATGCACAGCTTTTGACAGCTGCAGCAGCGCTCAGACCTACAACCAAAATGTTTGACACCTCAGCAATCGCACCTCAGCTGTCTTGAGTTCAGGTGGTTAGAAACATAGCTGCTACTTCAAGGCTTTCACTCATTGCGTAATATTTTTAGCTAAACCAGGGACGACGGTAATAATCTTAGCCCAGAACGAAATGCCAAGATTTGAGTACCTTTTTCCAGCCCCTTATATGGCTCATTCATCACATTATCTGTAGATCAGCTTCTGTCATAATTCGTTAGTAATTCTTGCAAAAAGTGGAGCATTGCAACCTAAAAACAAGCACACCGCCTGGCAGCTGTTTTCCTGTTCTGGTTAGAATTATGGGTCAGACATGTGTAAACACAATGTACACGTTTAATCTTGATATGAGTGTCTGGATGCTAAAATACATCTTTGGTTCCGTTTGATACGAACAAAAATGCATTTTCAAAAGTCCACAGGTTGTTCCCGACACCAGATTATCACAATATGGATATCATGACACAATATTCCTTGGATTCCAAAAATCAACCAAGAAATGCCACATGCAATAAATGTAATCGACGAACGAACGCATGCTTAGCTTTTAGCTTTTTGTTAAAGTTTTTGGGTCAAATTGTAGGTCTTTCTTCATCTATCAAGCGAAACTGCGTCTCGTGGCTGTTTGAAAAGGGGTCTGGGTGACCGGACCAGGAGATGGCAGGTGTGTCGGCCGCGTCCAGATCGATAAGCAGCGATAACGTTGGATTTGAAGAAGAATTTGCCTTATGCACGTTGCGTTCGTTCGGCGAGCTCGTCAGGGAGCTCGGCGCGGACGAACGGCTTGACTTCCTGACCGGAGAAACCAGGAAACTTTGCGTCAAGTCTTGTGTGGAGCTGTGGTTGGACTTTCGGGTTAAATACGTGGAGTTTTGTTCTTCCCTCGAGTGCGGGATCGAAGTGGAGAGGTAGAGCGGAGCTGGGGAGACGCTGTGTGAAGACTGGTGGCTTGGGGGCGGAGTTATGTTGGCGATGGGTGGGGCTAACACCATCGATGGGTTGAGGAGGAGGGGCCTGAGGAGGCTGGTCACTTCCTGCAGCTCCTGCCTCACGCTGGTCACCTGCCGTGACAAGGCGCTCATCTGGAAAGATAGGGGATGGGTTTAAAGCTTGAGAATGTAACTTTCAAAGCACCAAAAAGTCAGGTACCCCAGCTTTAAAAAACGATGGCAAAATCCATGTCCTCCCAAAACAGCTTTCAAACACAACTGCTCCTTCGCTAGTTTTCACATGCATGTATTTTTGGCCTCTGTCAGGTCTTTAGAACAACTTTTTTCAGACAGAAAAGTTAAAAAAGGAGGACCACCCTCACTCAGCCTCAATCAGCTTTCAGCCCAAAGAGCCAAATAGTGACTCACAGGACTCTATGTTACTCACGATCCCATGTTTTCTACTTAGATTGAAAACAACAGATGCACATTTCAGAAAATTTGGGGAAAAGCTATGTTACGTCAGCTTTAAAGTGTTTTCTCTCCACACCAAAGACACAGGGAGAACATGCAAACTCCACAGAGAAAGGATGTGGACTCAAACCCAGGACCAAAAACCCCAAACCCTACGCAAATGCCTTGGTATAACAATATTGCTAGTGTTCCAGATGCTTACCTCATTCTTGAGCTTGGATATAGTGCGCATTGTGTCTGCGGCTTGAGGATCTGCTGCAGAAAAAAACACACTTTCATAATTATTACCAAATCACATGGTTTTTCCACCAATATCAAGTCAGTCTTTTGAATAATGCCTTGATTATGATATTGACCTGGTGACGTATCAGGGCTTGGAGGGAAACTGTAGCTCGTACTTGGAGAAAAGTCGAACTTCGGAGTCGAATTAAAGTTTTCGCCGCCGTCAACAAACCTGGAACGGACAAAGTGGATACATTTGTGTATTTGTATGTTATATTATTCAGGAAAGATTTTAGCGTTTTTGGGATCTGCCAAAAAGAGAAGAAAGACATTTGAAAAACCAAAAAAAATCGTCTTTTCTGATTCTAATATGTTTTCTTTCCTTATCGGTAAATCTCCTCAACGCTACAGTAGTATATGGAGTTGGATAGACAGAAATGGTCGATTAAAGCTGGGGTACCTAACTTGCAAACCACACAAATTCAACTCCAGTATGTGTTCAAATCCATGTCACTATATTTTCGGTTTTAATTCAAGCCAAAATCTAATCTTGACGACAGTGTTACTTTTATGTATTTTCTTTCTTATTTCGGAAGTCAAAAACGTGGAGCAAAATGGCCACCAGAGGGAGCTCAAGTTTCAAAGTTTGAGAAATATATTTTATTATGGTATACAATTTAAAGCTGGGGTCAAAAAATACATAAAAACTGTTTTGAGAGGAACTTTTTAGATGGATTTTATGAGTAACATTATTTGTGGTATAAAGTGATGTACCCAGCTTTAATGCCACCAAACACAGCCTTATAATATTTTCTTTATAGATATTTAGTCTTACAGTCTCTTGTGTTCCCTGGTTTGGTGGAAGAACTGACCTGGGGCTGAGCTGTGGCGGTGGGCAGGTGAAGCTGACCGCTGGGATCTGGAGGGTGGATGGTCTCGGACTGCACTCTCCGGGTCTGAGGACTCTGGGGGTGAGGAGGGGGGAGCGCATGGGGGAGCGGAGAGGGCAGGGACCCATCCTGCTGCCGCCCAAAGGCTTCCTGGGAGATCCTTCTGAGCTGGAGCCCTCCTCGTCCTCGGTGATGGAGGCCAGCTTCTTAGCGATGCCACCGTTACTTTCAGAATCCTCCTGAAGACAGAATGGAGAGAAGCTGAAGATGGTGGGGGTAGCATCATGCTGTGGGGCTGCTTTTCTTTAGCAGGGACAGGGAAATTATAAACAAAGTCTCAAAATTAAGAGCTATTTTTTTACCAAATTTTCTGTTAACTATTCAATTTTTTGTATTATTATTATATTGTATCAAGAAAATTGACTGATAGAACACACATTGTAAAACAGTATAGCTATAGAACATGAAGGAACACAGTAAAACATAATTTGATACAATAAAAAGTAATGTTTATCAAATTATGGTACAATATATTCAATCTCTCGTTAAAAAAATCTTTTTGTGGCACCACCTGCAAGGTAAGGACCCCTGGGAACACCAGGTGCCACAGTGGAGCGTCAAACTGTTGTGTCCTCAGGTAAGAGACACTTAATTTCAGAAACATTTATTTAGTACACGATAAAACAAATTGTTTGTCTTTATGTGAGAATATCATAGTGTGATGGTCGTCTTAAAACAGATTGGCCAACAGAAGCAAAAAGATGAAATTTGCCAATTTAAATGAAAAAAAAAATCTAACAGTGCTAATAATAAGAATGAAGATACCAGAAGAGTTCATTTGCAAAATCAGTAAAAGTGCCCTAGTTTTTGAAAAAGCCAGATCTGTTCTTGTGACATGCAAATACATTTTCAGCCCTTCTTAAGCATTCTATTCTTTCAAATGTACTGCCAGTAATAAAACATGAACAGTATACTGTATATAGTAGTAAAGCTGCTTAATTTCATTACTCTAGGGAAGGAATTTAATCATTTTTAGCGTATTCGTCTTTGCTAAATGCGTCTACTAAATTTTCCGTTTCTATCTGATTACTGCAGCCTGATTACAATATAATTTTGTCCACCAGGAGGAGCTGATGTGCTTTGTGAGAGACCGATCCATTCACAACAGCTGCTTGTGAGTTTAAGCCCATTCACTTTATCAGAGAAAAATCTCATTCAGAGCAAATCCACAGGGCACAAAGGCAGCACAGTTTTGAAAGGTTATCACGGCTTTTGACAGAAGCTGACAGATTCACAGAAAGATGGGGGAAAACTCCTGCCTTTCCATCAGATCGATCGGCCAGCATCATGAGTGTTAAAAGCACCTACAATCGACCTTGGTCTGATCTGAGACAACCAATGGTGGGTCTAGGACTCAGGTGGAAAACAAGCTGCACGATGTCATATCGTCTGACACAGGTTCAATGACCACCTGTTCCAATGTACAGATCTGAGTTTCTCATGAAGAAAAATAACACAATATACAATTTAGAAGTAGATTTGGATACTACACCTCTGGTCTCTTACTGTTATCTCACTGTTCTCCCTGGTCTCTTTCTACTCACTCTCTTCTGCTCTTTCTCTATCTAGTCTCTGGTCTCTCTCTGGTCTCCATCCACAATGTTCTCTTTATTTTCTCAAAAGTGTGTGGAAGTGGTAATAATATTTGATAACAATTTAGTAGTAGATTTGGAGACTACACCGGACTGGACTCTCTGTGTTCTCTCTGTTTTCTCTCTCTGTTCTCTCACTGTTCTCTCTGGTCTCTATCCACAATGTTCTCATTATTTTCTCATAAATATGTCTCTAAGTGGTAACAATACTCAAAAACACATGCATGATATTGGACAGTAGAAGGACTTTCAGACATAAAGATAACATGGCAGATTTGAGAATCTAATCACTGTCAAATAATGCCCAGGGAAAAGAAACATCTTCACTTGTTGTATTGGCACTTGCTAAAATACTACTTTTGGCATCATATGTCGTTAAAGATACATTCAACCCCCACACATTGATTTAAGCCTATTTCTTTTACACAGCTTATGTCATTGTACACAATCGCCTATATTGGTCATGCATGTATTCTCCACAGACCCCAAACGCACACATTACAGCAGCACGGGAAACAAATCATTTCCATTTGCCATGCTCGGCGGCTCGCACATGAGGCCGTAAACACGCTTATGTGCCTTGGCATGTGCCTTCTCCCCGCGCACTGACATCCTCAACACGGACCCATCTCGCCCGTGCTCCCCCCAGGCCAAAACGCAGCTAAATATAAACCACGGCGAGCTAAAAATACCAGCATGCGGCACGTGCGAATCTAGAAGACAACAAAAGGGAGAGAGAGGGGGCCGCGTGTGGGGAAACCCAGTTTGGGGAAGAGAGCATTACACAAGAGGTGGTGATCAAAAATGCAGTGTTTTTTATGGTAGAATCATGAAATATTATGCATTATCAAAATGATAACAGAGGAACAGGTTTAAAACTTAAAGAGATTGAATATGGACATTCAAAATGATAAGGAGACAGTTTACTTTGTCATTTCATGTTTTACAATATGAAATACTAATGTCAAAGAAGAAAATACATATTGAAACAAGCGTGAAGGGCAAAACTTGCTTTATACTGATAACTCCCTATGCTGTCACCAGAGGAATGAGTCAAATGTGGACATTTTTTGTAAAATAATATTTTTTGAATAAAAATAATAGTAATGCATCAGTTTTGTATAGCTCTTTTCAGGACACTCAAAGACACTTTACATAACATTATACATTTACTCAATACACAGTGGTGATAAGCTGTAGCCACAGCTGCCCTAGGGCACACTGTCAGAAGTGAGGCAACCAGTTTACTAGTCAATGTAGGTGAAGTCTCTCTTGCCTAAGGACAGTTTGGAACTGTGGCACCTGGTGTTCCCAGAGGTCTCCCATCACGGTACTAACCAGACCCTGCCCGCACAGCTTCAGAGGATTGACGAGATCTGTTTACAGCCGCTCATTCATTATTATCATTCATACTTGTTTCACAATATACTGTATACTTCAGATATCATGTTGTGTGATGTTGTAAATGAAAGGTGTGGTTGTATTTTGTGTGTGTGTATGTGTGTGCGTGTGTGTGTGTGTGTGTGTGTGTGTGTGCGTGTGTGTGCGTGTGCGTGTGTGTGAGAGTACATTCTTATTGTTGTAACTTGATTTCATCTTATTGCATTAAGTAACTGGGAACTGCAAATGGAACTTAGCTGTGAACTGTCCCTCTCAAAAAAGACTAAACCAAACTAAATATCATTATTCAAATTAATCTACTTATTGCATTGGCAAATATTGTTGTGTTTTAGCCATTTATAGCCATCCCATTTTGCAGCTCACGACCAGAAGATTATCCAGGGATAAAAATAGCATCGACATCATGAATCGCGAGGTCTGTCCGTATAAACTCCTGAACGCTGCTGTTCAACCCAGTGTTGGAGCACGTGGCGTCAACATCCCGCCCGCGGTCTGTTTTGTCCTGATGTTACAGAGTCCCGTCTCAATCTGTCTGAGTGGCTCTATATTTACCCATCCAGGGACCAGCCCCCCCTCACCCCACCCTCCTCCTCGAGTCGCTGAACTATTTTTAGGCTGCGTCTCAGGAGGTGTGGGGTGGTACAGTGGAGAAAAGTAATAAGCCTTTAGCAGCCAAATGGGTCACTTTGATTGAGGGAAAGTTCTGGTAATGTATTGTGTATGGACTGTGCTATACAGATAAACTTGCCTTGTCATTGTAAGAGTATTTTGAGTGCTCATTTTGGTCTTTAACATGACGGACAACACAAAGCTAATATAATTTCTTGAAGCTGGGGTACAATTTATGAAGAAGCGACACTAGTTTTTTCCGCTCTCATCTCAAGTTTTCGCCTTCATGTACTGTATGTTTGGCCTCTTCTCACATCCTTAGAGGCAACGCAAGTTTATTTGTATAGCGCAAATCATACACAATGCAACTCAAAGTGCTCAGATCCGCTTTTCACTTTAGCAAGACTTTAGCCCCATCTTTGAGCAGAAGTTATGGATACAAATGTAAAATGGAATATGAGATGACCTGCATTAGCAAATAGAGAGAGGGGGCGGGGCAATGTACTGTACTTGAATGAATGGAGCTAAAAACAGCACAAGGTCTGTTCTTGAGAGAGCAGTTTCGTGACATGCTTTCAAACACGACAACATCACATTAATATCAATAACAAATAATGTCCTGTCTCTCAAAGTCACTAAAGCTGAAAATATTACTATTCTAAACCTTTTTGAATCAATACAAGGAATATTAGGTCAGAAATAAATATCTGAAGTATATTATAAGTGTGACAAGACGAGCCTCTACTATGGAACAATATTGACATTGACAGTTAATTGCAGTAGCTCCCCAGTAAATACTTCATATTATACACTTTGATCCTCTGCTAAATGCCCTAAACCTTTTTTCTTATTTCATGGTATTTGAAGCAGTTTCCATATTGTGTTCCACCCTCTGGTCGTGCATTAGCTCTGCCCCAGAATACATGTGAGAGCCCAGGTACCGCTGCTCCCCGCGGGCAGAACGTTTGTGCCAACACCGCTCCATCATCACAAACCACTCCCTCCGATTCAACCTTACAGCCTGAAAAGTGTGCACTGAAACAGAAACGGGATATGTGAAATTTTTTAGATTTTTGAGCCAGTGCAACGTGCATTACTTGTGTTACAGCGACGGCCGAAAAGCGTTATGTCCTGATGCAGAACCGATAGTTTTGTGCGACATGTGAGCATCGTTGGGATTAGAGAAACTGTATAAAGTGTCATCTTGAATTTGATTATGTATAAGATCATTTTGATAGTTGAAGTTCGAGTTCTGTGCGATACCTTACCATCGTTCGGTCAATCGTTTTGGTCAGGCTTAATTTAGCACGACAATTCTAAATATACACGTTTTAATTTATTTTTTCTTTATTAGTTCTTTGGATAAGGACTAAACATCGGGAAAACCTGCTAAATGAAGTGCAGATGGTGGGTGAGCAACCTTTCTTTGTTTTAAAATAAATAAATAACAAAAATTATATGAACTAAATAAACAACATTTATAACATGTTATGAATGTTTTGTTCATGGTTTAACTAACCTAACTCATGCTTACAATTAACATTCAAAGTTTAAGTTTTGTCGTTGGTATATGAAAATTGTGTAATCTAAAATGTTGATCAAGAATAACAGCATTTTGCCATTGTTGGTTTATGAGATCTGTATAATGTGACATACTTTGGAAGTATTTTCAAGATTCAAGATTCAAGATTAATTTATTATGTCCCGTAGGAAATTTGTCTTGGACTCACAGCTGCTACAATGAAAAAACACATAAGACAGACATAAAAAAACAACACGGTAACACCGACACGCCTGCATTCAGGAGGTTCACAGATATGGGTAGGAATGAGTTCTTATACCGGTTTAGATATCTTTTCTTATTTCTAGTGGGTACTCTGTAGCGGCGGCCTGATGGGAGGAGCTCATATATCTGCTGCAGAGATGGATGCTCCCTAACTCCCATGACTTTAAAGACTGTGCGCACTAATCTGTAAAGTTCTGCTTTTGTTTTAGCAGTCAAATTCCCAAACCACACACACATCTTATTACACTCTCAATTACAGCATGATAAAATAGCATCATTATTTTCTGTTCAACTCCAAAAAGTCTTAATCGCCGCAGGAAATTTCACAATTGTAATGTGGGTCTTGACTACAGCGCCTAAACAACTTTCGGTCAGGCATTATTTTTGTACTATCATTCATAATAGACACAATTTAGTACTTTTTTTTCCTAATGTAAAAATATATACAATCTTTGAAAACATATGACCTGAGATCTATTGTACACAATGGCGGAAGCAATAATAAATTACTACTACTATTACTACTACTAAAAACTCTAAGAATGTATGTATATCTCTAATATTTGATTGAGCTGAGGCCACCAAAAAGCACCACCAAATCGCATTAAACTTGAATCCTCTCAGACCTATGCCAAAGCTGACTTACATAATGCCAGTTCTATGCACTGGGCAGTAAAACATGATTCTATCTCTGCCAAAGCACTGGTCTGGTCCCCGCTGATTCTCTGGCTCGTCTGCTCTAATTAGCAGCCTTACTGTAGCACTCTTGATAGTATGCGTATGCTTCATGTATGTGTCCGCTGAGGTGGAAATATAACTGTACAAATCTGGCATATTTATAGTAGTTTCAGCCCCGTGAGTGACCGAGCTGAAATGTCCCAAAGACAGATGGTTAATCCGACCAAACACACGACAGAGGGAGGGGAGAGGACATGAATTAAAATAGCGTTCAACTGGATTATTCAATAAAGCTAGTCATACTTAGAATATTATCACTACTGAAGGGCAACAAGGTTTTAGCACCGTTTCAAACCCAGACACTGTTTCAATAATGTTCTGTTTTTTTTTCTTTTTTTTCACATGTTGCAACATTTCTCTCACATTTTTCTTCTTTTTGGTGCTAACAAAAAGACATACAAATGGGAATTTCAATCCCACAGTGAAAATGTGTCTTTTCACCTGAGAAATGACCAAAACTAATTCAAGGGAAATAATTTAGTTTGAAAGAGGAAATATTATGCATGGTTTTTGGCCATTTTAACATATAATGAGACTAGTTATTTTGTCATTTCTTGTTTCAGAATGTGTGATAAGGAAAATATGGTGAAACAAGTATGAAAGGTAAAAAATGCTTGGGAAGAGTGGATTTAGTTTTCTTCCTCAAATGAAAAATTGCTGACTGAAAACATGGTCATGCGATTGTGAAGAGCATATATTCACCTAAGATATTACCAAAAATGGGCAATACTTTTGTTTTAAAAGACAGAAAACTGCACTGAGTGTGATATTATAGTGGTACAATGAAATAATACCATTAAAGGACTGAGACAGGAGCTTTTAGACAGAAGGGAAGGAGTGATATGTTTGTAGCAGAAGTTCGGGATACAATGTTTGTATTTAAAGCTGGAGCTGAAAGCCTCTGTGTCTGTCCGGTCACCTGGCTGCTGCGTCCCTCTCGGAGGTTGTATGTGAGGTCGTGCTGGATCTCGCTCAGGAAGCGCTGGGCGTAGTCGGGGTACAGGCTGAGCACCTCCTTCAGCCCCTTCAGACTGATGTACTGCAGGTCACAGTAGGTCAGCGCCTTCACACACGCATTTGTCTTTATCACCTCCTCCTGAGTGAGACAGTCCGAGCCGATCAGGTCCCCACGGCCTGGGAGAGACCAGAGAGAGAGAGTACAGACTTCAGAAAGAGAGAGAGTGATGACATCAGAGAGAGAAACCAGAGAGAGAGAGAGAGAGAGAGAGAGTAAAGACATCAGAAAGAGAGAGAGTAAAGACATCAGAGAGAGAGAGAGAGAGAGAGTGATGACATCAGAGAGAGAGAGAGACCATAGACAGAGAGAGAGAGAGGGAGCAGAAAGAGTAATAACATCAGAGAGAAAGAGAGAGTAATAACATCAGAAAGATCAGAAAGAGAGATGGAGTAAGAAAATTAGAGAGAGACAGTAAAAACAACAGAGAGAGAGCAGAGAGAGTGAGAGTAAAGACATTAGAGATAGAGAAAGACCAGTAAGAGAGAGAGAGAGAGAGAGAGAGAGAGAGTAAGGCCATCAGAGAGAGAGAGAGAGAGTAACGGCATCACAGAGAGAGACCATAATGACATCAGAGAGAGACCAGAAGCCCAAAGGGTTCTCACTTTTATTTTGTTTTTTGATGTTTTTTTTGCCGATGCAGGCGGGTCTATGGACAGTGATGATTAAAGGACATTTATGTATGAACATTTCTGGACAGTGGTCATCTCGCTCTCTCCGGCCAATGCCTCTATGTGTTTGTACAGATGTAAACATACTGCTGCTAATGTACAGCTGTAAACATACTGCTGCTAATGCACAGCTGTAACTATACTGCTGCTAATGTACAGCTGTAAACATACTGCTGCTAATGCACAGATGTAAACATACTGCTGCTAATGCACAGATGTAAACATACTGCTGCTAACATGTACAGATGTAAACATACTGCTGCTAATGCACAGATGTAAACATACTGCTGCTAATGTACAGCTGTAACTATACTGCTGCTAATGTACAGATGTAAACATACTGCTGCTAACATGTACAGATGTAAACATACTGCTGCTAATGTACAGATGTAAACATACTGCTGCTAACATGTACAGATGTAAACATACTGCTGCTAATGCACAGATGTAAACATACTGCTGCTAATGTACAGATGTAAACATACTGCTGCTAATGTACAGCTGTAAACATACTGCTGCTAATGTACAGCTGTAAACATACTGCTGCTAATGTACAGCTGTAAACATACTGCTGCTAATGTACAGATGTAAACATACTGCTGCTAATGCACAGATGTAAACATACTGCTGCTAATGCACAGATGTAAACATACTGCTGCTAACATGTACAGATGTAAACATACTGCTGCTAATGTACAGCTGTAAATATACTGCTGCTAATGTACAGATGTAAACATACTGCTGCTAACATGTACAGATGTAAACATACTGCTGCTAACATGTACAGATGCTAACATTATAACTACACTTTGCTTGCACTAGAATACACTTGCTTGCCTCTTATTTTGCCAAATGTAAAACTTTTACACTTTTTATTATTATTATTTTTAAGATAGAGATTTTATATTTGTTATTGATGCTAGAGTTAGGGATTTTGTTTTATTTTAATTAGTATAGCTATTGTTCACTTATCTTGTGCTGTGTGCTCCTCTTTCCTACTGTTCTATAACTTGTCATGCAACACTGAAATTTCCCCACTGTGGGACGAATAAAGGATCTCTTAATATTAATCTTTGATATTACTGCATTTCCTGTGTTTGAACGGTTTGGTTCTCTGATCTGTTGTCGATTCACCAACAACAGTTTACCCGAGACGACTGCTGTTGTGATTCTAGTCTGTATAAAGGAGAAACACAACAATCACCTGAAAGACCAGAGGAGAAACACAAGAATCACATCATAATAAGAGCAAGCATGTTATCAACATATCAATAAATCTAGACCCTTTTTTTTATCAACACATTCAGAAAGATTTAAAGCTGCGGCGGCACATTTTCAAGCCTCTAAGATCTAACAAGTCCCAAGATAATTAATTAGTCTCAATAATTTGTTTGTATTTTTGGCCTCGGTCACATCTTTGGATCAGCCAAAAGAGTCTGTTGTTTTCTATTGAGATGAAGACGGCATGTTGCGGTCAGATTTGTTCACAACATTTTACTCATTTTTTTTTTCTCAAATTACAGGAAAGAACCGCCCTCTACACTTTTTGAACAAAATTCTCTGGCCATATTTGACAAGCATGTGTCACCAGAATGATTGACAATTGGAAAGACCAATAGTAATAATAATAATAATAATACATTTTATTTCTTAGGCGATTTTTTTGACACTCGAGGTCACCTTACATACACGTAAAAAAGTGCATTTGAATAAAAGTTAAAATACAAAGTTGAAAGCATCCTGGACAGTGGCGAGTGTGGTTATGGTGTTAGTGAGTTGGCTTGTCCAAACAGAGAAGACAATTGATGATCCACCCAGAAGTAGAAAATCCTCCTATATACCTTTAAGTACCCCAGCTTTAAATTAAAGCTGCATTACCTGACTTAATTTTTGTATTCATTACGAAAATTCAATCCATATCCATGCAATGCATCGGGATATACGTCCTTTTGAAGAAAAAATAGCGCAGATTTGTGCTGGCGTGTCATTTTATTTTAGATCGGGTTTTTGTGAAACAAGGAAGAGAATTTGTTTCGGGACCAGATTGTGACCAATCATAGCGGACCACTGGCGGCCACTTTCTTGAGAAAAGCTACAGGTCTCTCGTTAACACAGACAGCTGAGGTAAACAAGCGGCAGAGGCTAACCTGAAGCTTCCTGTGTCTTTGTTACCAGTTACTGCTTACTCAGCGAAACAGCCATCCAAAAGAAAGTCTCGTCCTCTCCGCGCTTCCCGGTTCAATCCTTCTATGGTCACACCATCCACGCTCAAATGTGCGATCCATATTGTGAGACGCGAGCTCCGTATACAATTAGCATGTGAGCACAGGCTGAGGGGGAGGGGGGTAGTGGGGGGCGAAAACTCCGTGGGTGTGCGAACAAAAAGAGCAAGCCCAGCGCTCACATTCGAAAATTTCTCAAAGTCTGTTAGTGCAGCTTTAATAGTGTGTTGTTGACGTTCTGAGATAACTACTGTTGTGATTAAGGGCTAGAAAAGAATACATTGAACTGAAATGAAAAGTGTGTTTTGTCCTGAATTGCCACCACCAACATGAAGCCAGCTTAACCTAAAACGTAATTTATTCCGACTGAAATTAACCACTGGAGTCTAGGGGTAAACACTCAAACATTACAATGAGGATAAAACACAGAGCTGTGGATGGTTCATGATTCATTTGGCATTTAGTAATCTGGGTCAGAGAAAAAAACAGGGCTTTCCCAGACGCTTTCCTTTGCGCACAAACATCTCCAGCCTCGGAAAAAAACACATCCTACATACCCACGATGGCAATAATGACTTCAATATCGCTCTATTTTATTATTTATACATCATTAAAATGCATAAAAACAGTTGGCAAATTTGCTTTTCTCTGCTTTACACGACTGAATGCGATCCAGTGGCATTAGCTGAGTCTGTTTTATGTTTTTATACAGATGTAAGATATGGTAACTGTGGTAACTATGATCAATAAATAAACTTTTCTAGCCTTATTTCACACGTGGGTTGTATTAGGAGAAGAAGGTTTTAAAACTGCACACTCGTCATACAAGCCGTGGAGCCGTGTTCAGGTGAGTGAAGCTCTTGCAAATTATTAAAGTTGTTAAAAATATGTTGGATAATGTCTGACTCCCTCTGGTCTCTTTTTGGTTTCCTCTGGTCTCTCTCTCAGGGGTTTCTCTCAGATCTCTTTTTCTGTTCTCTTTCTGGTCCCTCTCTTTGCTCTCTCTCTCTAGTCTCCCTCTGGTCTCTCTCTTTCTGGTCCTTCTCTCTTGTCTGTCTCTTTCTGGTCCCTCTCTTTCTAGTCCCTCTCTCTGGTCTGCACTGTGACTTAAGAAGACTTATTTTGAAAGTCTGCCGTTTGTTTTGAGCCTTTTATTTTGACATACTCCTGTCTTCCTGGTGGCGAATAGCCGACACATGGCCAGACAACATGCCAACCTTTCCCAAGTCCAAAACACATACAAACGCCTCATGTTTCAACATTTTACCTCTTCAGTCACAGACCTGGAGTTGTTTTCAGCTCTGTCCACGCTATTATTTAGCTCTGTCCACGCTAATATTAGGAACTAACTAACGTTGTCCCTTGTGTCTAAATGGATGTATCTCGTTACTAAGACAAAGGACTTCATGGACTGAGCTCTTCTTGTTCTTTACTGCTTCTTAGTTTGTTTTTTGACTGCTTGTCTGTTTTTAGACCACGCCATGTTAGATTTGAATGTGAAGAGCAGCAATGTAGCGTGATGTAATTTCACTAAGTGTTCGTTTCCAGACCACATCAGTCATGTTTAACCCTTTCTTAAAAGCCGAATGGGAACACAAACAATGAATGATAGATCTTTAAAATGCTGATAAGATTTTTTGCTTCGATCAAAATTCAGATTTAATTAGCACGTCTCCCTCACGGGTAATTGATTGGTTGAGCAGCGCAATCAGCGTTCTAATCTGCAGTAATGTCCATCACTCCAAGGTTAGCAAACATGGAAGCTTCTATTACTGTGTCCGTAGAACTTTTACTGAGAAACTGTACTTTTAAACTATCATGTGTTTTTGGATGCCTGTGTTTTTTGGTTTAGTTTCTGATCATTTAATATACATCTGATGAGAAATGACATTTGGCGCATTGGTGTGTGTAGGTGCACTTTTATCTATTCACAAGTATTTATTTATAAACATCCTTTTTATCATTATAATTTTTCATGTATGCATGTATGAAATGTATACAAAATAATAAAAGTAATATATAATGTATGTATTATTAACATACGGTTGAATCTATTTATCAATTAAATAAATATGTATTTTTATTATAATCACAAATATTATTTTATCATTAATATCTATATGTGATTTAATAAAAATATATTTATATATATTGAATTTAGTTCAATATATTCTATATTATTTTTGATGTATCCATTCCTTTATTCAAATTGTAGACAGAACATTACACAATATAGTCATAGTGTCATGGTGTGGATTTTTATTTCTGTATTTGGTTTTATTTTGACATTAGTTATCTGGTTTCATTTAAGTTTTACTTCATGTCCTGTTCCCCTCTTGATTGTCTGCCCCGCCCTGATGTGTTTCACCTGTGTCTGTGTCTATATGTACCCTGTGCTTCTCTCCCCTTGTTGCTGCTGCATTGTCTTGTCTAGTTTTGTCCTGGTCACTTTGGATTTTTGGAGTTGTTCTTTGCCTTGGACTTTGTTTTATTAAAAGCTTTATTTTGGCATTCTTGCGTTTTGAGTCTTCCTCATTTTCACTTTGTGACACATAGACTGTAAATATTGACGGATGTAGTCAAGCCTATCTCCGCCGTTCAAACTAATGTGCCACCACTTTCGCCATCAATGGGGCTTTTCAAAATGGCCTCAGGGGCATGTGTCCGCCGGCACGAGCCCCATTCATTAAACGAGTGCCTTCAAAATTCCATTGCGGCTAAACTAGACATGGTCCAAAAATGTACACTCCCTTCAGCATTGACACACATCTGGAACGTAGACTGTATTCTCCACCCCTTCCTGCATCACACATGTTCAAAGATGGACTGCAGCTCTCTTAAAGTTTACATTTTTGTCTCATTTTCAACTGGATTCCACAGATTCCACAAATAAGACATTCATTCTTTCATTCATTCAAGTGACACTGAAACACAACATCAATACAAACAGATCTAACAAGTCCTTATATAAGCCACAAGACATTAATAACTAGAGCAGTGTCTCCCAAAGTGGGGTCCGCGGCCCCCTGGTGGGCCGCGAGGGTACTGCAGGGGGGCCGCGGGAGGTCATAAAAAAAAAAAATAATAATAATAATTATTTAATGTTAAATTTATAATGTTTTGTTTGTAATATTAAAATATTTGTGTTCATTATTTGACTTGAATAATCCACTGTAATCATTTTTGTATTAAAATGTTTGTAGCAGAGGCTATTTCCCCAAAATAAAATAACCAGAAGAGCCTATTCTTAATGTTGTCTTCTTGGTTATTATTTTGGGGGGCCACGCAGACCCGTCAGATTTTTAAGGGGGCCTCGGTGTTACTGAGTTTGGGAATGGCTGAACTAGAGAATAGAACACCATTTTCCTTAAATCTAGTGATGATTAGAATGAACAACACTCCCAACTACTGGCAGCAAAAGGGTATTACATGGTGCCAGACTTTTATGTAAATGACTGGAGAAACTCACAAAACTAAATGAGATGCTTTACATGTTTTTAAAAAGTCAGACGTTGTAACATATGTGCCTGTTTAGTGCGGTTTGAGTATATCTCGTACTCTACTTAATATTAACAATAGCTACAGTAGTTTTCAACCATTTTAGATTTGTGTGTTTTTATTGCCTATGACCTGCTTTAGCTTCAGTCCAGCTCAGTTCCAAGAGCAGAGAGAAAAATGGCAGGAGCTTCAGGCAAAAATGAGCCGTTTTCGACAGTCTAGTTACATCATAACTGCCTGGAGTAAAATACACTATTTTGGGAACTTTAATTTGGTTAAGGGACAGTGCACAAGAACAAGTGGGTTAGATGTGAGATCCCAGAGAGCTGAATGTCAACTAGGGCTGGTTTTCTTTGTATCATATGAATCATACACATGTGAAATGCCATTATTCTGGCATTTAATAATATTGACTGTAGATTCACACCCAGGCTGTGTAAGGGCTATTTGACCAATAAGGAAAGTGATGGGGTGCTGGCCTCCACAGTCACCGGACCTGAACCCAATCCAGATGGACCACAGAGTGAAGGTGAAAGGGCCAACAAGTGCTGAGCATCTCTGTCAGTTTTGGTCCTCCATAACCTCTAGAGGCCTTTTTCATGAATCAATTGGACTATAGTTAATATGAAGAAAATGTGGAACTTTGAGACCATTTTTATTTTATGTGGATTAGAAATCACTTTATTAACCTTTATTACCACCACATGTGTAATCTATAGGCTCTATGGAATGTCCTGATGTTTCATGAACACAATTCCATATTGAGCCTAAAACAAGACGCGAACAGGAAGAAACAAAGCAGGTGCTACAGGAGAATCTTCTACTAAAGGTTGCTACACTTCCACTTCCCAAAAGAGATTCAAAAGATCTCAATATCACAGGAAACAACACAATTTGGCCGACCTCTCTGCTTTCTCTCTCTCTGGTAGAGGGGAGAGACCAGAAAGGAGGGAGAGAGACTAGAGTTCTCTCTGGTCCCTCGCTCTCTCTGGTCATATCAAATAAAAATTTCCCAAAACCAGTAGATTCAGTGCATTTGCCTGTCATGATGCTAAAGCTAACAGCTAACACACATTGGGCCTGGTCTCCTAATAAGTGTGAGGCCTGGGTACCGCTAAAATGGGAGACCTGGTATTCCCACCAGGTGCTACAGTGGACAGGCTGTAAACTGGTCGTTGTGTCGTTGGGCAAGGCACTTCACCAAATTTGCCTTGTATGAATGTTGTGCATGTGTGAATGGCAGGTGGTGGTAGAAGGGGCCTCAATGGAAGCCTCACTTACAGCAGATTGCCCCAGGGCAGCTGTGGCTAGTAGTAGAATGGAATGAAGGATGAGTGTGACGTGTTACATGACATAAGAAGCTTTAGTTCAGGTTGAATGCAACAGTTTGAGGCAGCAGTAGCACTTTGGTGTCATTACAAGCACTTCGCTAACAATGGTTTAGTGTTCTTACCATTGAGAGTATCTGAGTTCAATTGGTTTGAGTTTGTGGCTTGAGTTTGATTGCTGTGGACCCTGTGATCTTAAAAAGATATCGGAATAGATTTTAAACTAAAGTGGAAGTCGTCTTGAAAATGGTTTTTGATAGTTAACCCACCCCCACCCAGCAATACAAAAAAACAAAATAAAAAATAATAAATATATTGATGTCTGTAAATTCAACTTTTGGTAACACTAGATTGTCTATGAACTGCGCTATACAAATATCCTCTCCTTGCATGTTAATAATGCCATTAAAAACATTTCTTCTTACTGTTGCGGCTTTTCAGTGTGAACAGCTGCAAACCTTGAAAAATCTATATCATTAGTGGCCATTAAATAAAACTAATAGATCATTATGAAGTACTAGGTTAAATCCTCCAGCTCTGGTAGTCCTGACCAAGCCGAGCATCAACAACTGGAGACGGGTTCCCGGGCGCTGTACTACGGCGACCACTGCTCCTGACGTAAGCCGTAGTGGTATCAGGATGGGTCAAATGCAGAGGATGAATAACCCTACGGGGATTAATAAAGTGCACCTTTACCTTTAAAAGGTATTGTTTCCTTTTACAAGACGCTACAACAGTAAAAGGTCAGAGTTTATATGGTATCCTTTCGTTTCCATGGAGACTGTGTTTCAAGTGAAATCGTTGAGAACCAGCCTCCAGAGTGGAACAGAACAGAGAGGCTGCGGCTGTATTCTCTGATGACCTCAGCACTTCCCCCACGTACATTTGGACGCAGTAGACCGTAAACAACAATGGTGGCGGATCGACTAGTCCTACGAGTGCTTCGCTAACAAAGGAGGATTCTACCCCATCGTCCAAACCAAACAACAGCTTAAAGGGCTCGACACACGGGAGGCGACAAATGAGAGCGATCAGCGAAACTCAACGCTGTCGCTCAGATAACATGACAGACGGGGCGCGATGCGGCTTGACGACAGCGTCGAAAAGTTGAGCCGATTTCGACTTTCTGGGATCGCGTCGCTGACTTGCGCGTGCACGATACATGCACGAGCGGGAGGATTTCACACGCACGTTTTTCGCCCGTCGCTGAGCAGGAGGCTTGCTAGCGATTGACGCTATGTCGCGCACGTCCCATTGAAAATGAATGGAGGCGATGCGATGTCGCCTCCCGTGTGTCGAGCCCATTAGTTTCACTTTCCATTCTCACTGCTGCTGTTAAAGAGTTATGATGATTCTTTCCCGTCTTTGCGGCGGCCTGAGGAGGATGTTGTTCAGGAAGTGCTTCTACAGTTGGGGGTCGCATGTGTCGTGTTCCACTGCCCCATACTGGCCGCAAGGTGGAACTACAGAGTTTTCCGTCGCCGACTAAACGCTGTACACTTTGAATACAGACCTTTAAGGAGAACCAACACTCCCAAAATATATATCAATAAATAAATGTTCAATTAATTTACTTAGTGATAGAAGCAAACTGTTTAAGAGCTAAGACTAGAGACTGAGACTTGAATTTCTTGTGTAGGTCGTTATTTTTGTAAAAAAAAAAAAAAAAAAAAAAACTTGCATTAGAACTTTGTAATAAAGTCCATGGCACTTGTTTCTTGCTCTCAAAAGCGCTTTTTAAGACAGAAAAGTGAAAAAGAGAGGACCATCCCCACGCAGCCAATCTGCTCCAAGCCCAAAGAGTCAAAAAGTGACTCCCAGGGCTTGTTCTTGCACAGAAGATTAAATTATTTCAATAAGATGAAGACAGCATATTGTGGTCTGATTTGGTCCCAACATTTTACTTTTACAAACCTCTGTCTTTGGCGCAAACGTGGGATATTTATAGAACAAAGCACAAACATAGGTGCCCCAGCTTTAACCCCGGCCCTCATTTACCCAGAATGGCCAGCACGGTGTTGTCCTTGAGCACCTCCATGGATCCGGAGCAGACAAAGTAAATGGCCTGCAGTGCGTCTCCTTGTCGAATCAGAAACTCTCCGGGAGCGCAGAAGGACGTCTTGATGATGAGCGAGAGTGAGCGCAGACACCCCCTGCTGGCCGACTCGAACAACGACAGCTGTAGGAGCTCTTTGTTCAGGTGCATGGCGATATCGGCCCTCAGCTCGTCCGGGAAGTCCTTCAGCAGCTACGGATGCAAAGGAGATACAGAGATTCGCACAGAGCTCGAAAGCTGAGTCTTAAATTATACTTTGGGAAAGGTTGGTGTGTTGTTTTGACCATTTTGAGTTTTTGACCACAGCGGAAGCACGTCAAAATAAAAGGGTCAAAACTGTTTTAAAGGTTTCAAAATAAGTCTTCTAAAGTCAGAGTGCAGTCAGAGTGACTAGAGAGAGAGATCAATGAGAGACCAGAGAGAAAGACCAGAGAGAGACCAGACGGTCCAAGACAAGGGAGACCAGAGAGAGACTAGAGAGACACTAGAGAGAATACAGTAGATAGAGAGAGAGAGAGAGAGAGCAAGAGAGAAGCACCAGAGAAAAACAAGAGAGAGACCATAGAAGACAAGAGAGAGAGACCAGAGAAAGATAAGAGAGACCAACGAGAGAGACACCATAGGGACTCTCATTATACTGCTATTGTATATTATGTTAAACAGTTAGTATGTTTAATTGGAATCTGTTTTAAGCTTGTCTTTTTTAACAAATCAATGTTGCTTCTGAGTGGTCGCCATGAAAGCTGTTAATATTCAACCTTCTGCAGACAATGTATAAAGTCAATGTTAGAAATCGTCTTAAGGGGAATATGTTAATGATAAATATAAATAAAGCTTCCTGTTATTATGTGGGCGAGTGTGGAGTTAAAAGCACCTTCCCACAAGTTGCAGAATTAGTGCAATAAGAAATAAGGTGGAGAAATACATATTGGTTTTAAATTTAGAAGTGTCTAAAAGTGGGTCCTGCTCTGATTAAAATATAAAGTGATAATTGTTATATATTTAACTTCATGGATGAGAAATGATAATCAAATATTTTTACTTTTATGGAGACATATGCTTAAAATGTTAAAACATGTTTAGGCTGCTTTTTAGGCTGGGGTCTCATGCGCACCCTAAAACCCAGTTAAAGTGGGCCTGAGCCTACTCGCGATTAGATCCGGGCTTTAGGTGCTATGTGACCGCAGCAACCGGGCTTGGGCATGGTTGCCGCAAGTGGGCCTGAGCATGGTCGAGAGAGGTGGGCCAGAGCACGCTTCTAAAGCCCAGATGAGGGGGGTCATCGGTCATTGGTGGGGAGTGGGAGATGAGGTGTGGTGGGGACTTGATATTGTGGGTCACATTACGTCTTCTGTTGTGACGGGCGTTTTCACACACATCTCTTCAGCACTTTCGTATTCTCCAGTGTGTTACCGTGGTCGAGAGGCGCAGGGGGGTGTGTCGCCCCGCGACCAAAGGGAAGCGTTTCTTATGGAAATAACTCCCTTGTCCTGACCCTCGCTCTCAGTGTGGTGCTATTGCAATAACACTTCAGACATTCAAGAATCAGCCTTTATTTAATCATCAGAACACAACAACCAAGCCCCGGTGATCCGAGATGGCGCCCTATTCAAATGAATGGCTTGTGCTCTGTAGCGCATGGGACTTCACAGAGACCGGGAGATTAGCAGAACTCGCCCATATTTGGGCATCGTCAGCTCCTCCCGGTTCTGCGCAGTGGATTATCGCCCATAATGCGTTGCGCCAAATACGCGTGTGTGGCTTTCATGCACGCAAACAGAGGGGCTCGGCCGCGCTCTGACCAATCAGAGCTGCTGATCACAGCAGCAGCAGAGTGGAGTCAGAGCGGGAAGGAAAGGAGAAAAAAAGTTCAGCATGATAAGGAACACTAAAATCCCCACAAAATCCGATATTTCTGAAAGCTGTAGGTTCTCTGTCAGCTGAGGTTGAGCTGTTTTAATTTACATTGAGTTCTATGGGACTTTTTTTCTGGGTAGCCCTCGTGATTTTAGTTTGCAGTACCACGGGCACCCCCTGTGCCCATGGGTGGGACAGCTTTAAGCTAGTAATACCCTATCCAGTTATTATTATAGATCCATGACAACAACACACACTTGTATCCTGCCTGGCTCCGGTCGCTCTGATCGTACGCCACACTTTTCATTCTTTCACTCTCACTCATTCATTTCTCAGCGTTCTTACGCTCGTTACTAAACAAGCTCACTCCTGTGTCCGTGGCGCGCGCACACACACACACACACACACATGTTACCCACTGAACTGCAGCACTTTGCATCAGAGCAATGTGAACAAGTGCTGTCTTTCCCTAAACAACGCGATCCGTACTTGAGCTGTTAGCGCTACATTAGCAGAGTGTAAACAGGAAGAGAAACGGAAACTTAACTCGGACAACGAGGTAGTCGCTGGAGTTAGTATTAGCGCCCCCAGCTGGACCGAGCGTTGTACTCCAGCACATTTGCTCTGGCATGGTTGCAAGAAGAAGCTCTTGGGACCGCGGGCCGTGCTTCATACCCCTGTGGCAACGATCCGGGCCACGTTAGTTTGCTTGTAAAAACCTATGTGACCGTGCCCTGACATGAACCATTTTAGAATTTTAATGGACAAAAATTATATGTAATATTTCTTCTAAAGGTTAGGGGATATATTTATCATAATACATAGATTTAAAACAGTTCCTCCCCTTGGAATAACCAATGCTAGTAAGATTTGCCGGAGGAGAATAGTTGGACCAATCTGTAGGGGCTTCAGCTGTCTATCAAGGATTTAAATTATTAGCACCCAATCAGGAACCTGTGGGGGCGGGGCAAACTGGACTTGCGTTTGATAAACGTATTGTCACAATTTGAAAAGCAACTGAACTATATGGAGGACCGTGGCTGCCAAAACAATAAATATATACAGAAATAAATAAATAAATAAATACATTTTAAAAAGATAACATTTGCAAAGAAATGCATGCAATTATGAGAATAAGTACATTTATTTCTGTATTTATTTATTTCTGTATTTATTTATATATTTATTTATATATTTATTTATTTATTTCTGTATTTATTTATTTTTGTATTTATTCATACATTTATTTCTGCATTCATACATTTATTTCTCTATTTTTTATTTATTTTTATTTCTCTATTTATTTATTTATTTTTTGCATTTATTTATTTAATTCTCTATTTATTTATTTATTTATGTTTGCATTTATTTATGTATGTCTCTATTTATTTATGTATTTCTCTATTTATTTATTTCTGTATTTATTTCCGTATTTCTCTTAATGATATGCAAATCATGGGGTGTGTTGGGATGCCTCTGCTGTAAGCTCATTGGTTAATCTTTTTCCTTGCTCCATAGCTTGTCCAGCGTAGGCGGTCATGTTGAGATCACTGTGCTCTCGCTATAGCCATGTCAGAACGAAAAAATAAAAATAAAAATCTTCCATATGCAACAATTGCATTGTGTGTGTGTGTGTGTGTTTTTTTGTCCGGCTCGTGAGAGGCTTTTGGCAAAGGCAGTGACAGGTGCTCGTGTGTATTTTACTACAAAGCGCTGAAGTCCGCCGAAAAACCCCGCGTTCGAAGTGTGTGTTTTACACTCAGACACTGGAGCTTTCAGTGAAGGCTGAGAGAGACTGAAAAGTGGACGCGGCCACAGTCCGCGTCCACTGGGGGGGGGGGGTACAGGCGCTCGTTCTACAGGCCCAGAGTCCGGTCGTTCACATCGAAACGTGTTTTCGTTGCAGCGGCGCAGTATTCTGCACAGACTTCTTCATACTTCCAAAAGCCTCTCACGAGCCGGACAAAAAAACACACACACACACACACACAATGGAATTGTTGCATATGGAAGAATGCTTGGGATTTTTATTTTTATTTTTTCGTTCTGACATGGCTATAGCGAGAACACAGTGATCTCAACATGACCGCCTATGCTGGACAAGCTATGGAGCAAGGAAAAAGATTAACCAATGAGCTTACAGCAGAGGCATCCAGGCCCACCCCATGATTTGCATATCATTAAGAGAAATACGGAAATAAATACAGAAATAAATAAAATAAAAATAGAGAAAAAAATAAATAAATAGAGAAAAAAATAGAGAAATAAATAAATAAATGCAAAAATAAATAAATAGAGAAATAAATAAATAAATGCAAAATAAATAAATACATAGAAACATAGAAATAATAAATGTATAAATGCAGAAATAAATGTATGAATAAATACAAAAATAAATAAATATATAAATACAGAAATACAGAAATAAATAAATATATAAATACAGAAATAAATGCACTTATTCTCATAATTGCATGCATTTCTTTGCAAATTTTATCTTTTTAAAATGTATTTATTTATTTCTGTATATATTTATTGTTTTGGCAGCCACGGTCCTCCATGGACCTAAACTTTAATATAGGTTGCAGCAAGAGCGAATTAGTCCAATAAAACAAATGAGTTATAACCAAATTTGAATAATTTTTGATAATGGTAAAAACCCTGAATGAACAGCCTTAAATATTAATATTAAAAGCATATATTACTATCGACAGTAGCTCAGTTGGTAGAGCATTGGCCTTTGAGCCTGAAGGTCGTGGGTTCAAGCCCACCGTAAGACCTACAGTACTTCACGACTCCCACTGATAACTGCTGTCGTTGTGTCCTTGGGCAAGACACTTAACCCCACTTTGCCTGAAGCTCCCACTGAAAGATCTCAGCTCCTGTGGACTCACCACCTGCAAGAGGATCAGTGAGGGGCTGGTGCTCTGTGTACTGGGTGGCATCTCTGGCCACCCCCCCGACCCAGAAATGGATTTAGGGGAAGAAAATGGATGGCATATATTACTGCATTAGTTCTCCTATAAAAGCATTTACCATGTGCTTCCTGTTTGCACCAGCTCCATGTTTGAAAACCAGATAAAGCCAATTATGTGTAAATAAACAACTGTAATCCAGTAAATTAAACAGTTTATTCCACCGTTGGCCTCACATCGTTCCTGCACACTTTATTTTGGATTCATACCTAGGGGCAGTTTTCTTTTTTTATCATCTCTGTTTTATTTAAAAGCTGGTCTCTCTTTGATCTCATTATAACAGACAAGGGCGTTCAGACCACAGCACACGGGAGCAAACGCACCCGGACACCACACAAAGCCCTGTCAAGGTAAATACATGTGAGAAACTTTTGTTATTTTTATGTCTCCAGTTTTTGTTTTCAGCTGAGGGTTCTCACATTGAAGAGGGGGTGTAGCGTAATGGGAAATTATGGATTTGGATCATTTTGAACAAAACTTGGATGAAAATATACATTTAAATATTGCAAAGAGATGGGAGGTATCAAAAAGATCAATATTTTCAATCCCAATTTCTGTTTTTTATCAATATCTTAATATAAATTTAGATACAGTTTAGCCATTAGTTGCAGTCTGTTAAATAACTTATGTAAGGAGGAATGGGAAAAAATTCCTCAAACCAAAAAGGTCGTGGCTTTGCCGAAAGAGGCAACTATGCATGAAATCTGTCCGAACATTTTGAAATATTAAACTATTGACTTCCAATGAAAGAGCCTCTCTATTGATAGTAGACTCGTGCCCTGTCTACATGCTGAGGAGGTACACAGGGCAACAAAGTTCAAAATTGCCAACACAGATCAGAGAATCAAACAAGCACAAAGAAAACACAAAAAATGCCATCATAAAAAATCACACAGACATTTGTCCATAAGGGGCAAATGTCAATAAATGTCACAGGATTTACACGCTAAGAACCCATGCACTATTTTATACCTGTATACTTTTGATAAAGCTGCACCTCCTCTGCCCTCACCTCGCTGACGTCGATGCCGTTGTTGACCGACCACGTGGTCTGGAAGCACTCCATGACACGCTGCTCTAGAGCTTTGGGCAGGCGGTGGACCCTGATGAAGTCTTTCAGGTCCTTGGTCCTGGTTTGGTACAGCGAGCGCCGAGAGTACATCCTCTGAATGATGGCCGTCACGTTCCCAAACACCACCGCATGCATCAGCGCTGCAGCAGAAGCACAAAACAGCTGGTAACAAGAGACCACAAAGAGAGCAGAGAGAGAGCAGAGAGAGACCAGAGAGAGACCAGAGAGAGACCAGAGAGAGAGCAGAGAGAGACCAGAGAGAGAGAGTAGAGAGAGACCAGAGAGAGACCACAGAGAGAGGGAGCAGAGAGAGACCAGAGAGAGACCAGAGAGAGAGCAGAGAGAGACCAGAGAGAGAGCAGAGAGAGACCAGAGAGAGAGAGTAGAGAGAGACCAGAGAGAGACCACAGAGAGAGAGAGCAGAGAGGGAGCAGAGAGAGACCAGAGAGAGACCAGAGAGAGAGCAGAGAGAGAACAGAGAGAGAGTAGAGAGAGACCAGAGAGAGACCAGAGAGAGAGCAGAGAGAGACCAGAGAGAGACCAGAGAGAGAGTAGAGAGAGACCAGAGAGAGACCACAGAGAGAGAGAGCAGAGAGGGAGCAGAGAGAGACCAGAGAGAGACCAGAGAGAGAGCAGAGAGAGACCAGAGAGAGCAGAGAGAGAGCAGAGGGAGAGCAGAGAGAGACCAGAGAGAGGGCAGAGAGAGAGATCAGAGGGAGAGCAGAGAGAGACCAGAGAGAGACCAGAGAGAGACCAGAAAGAGACCAGAGAGCAGAGAGAGAGCAGAGGGAGAGCAGAGAGAGACCAGAGAGAGACCAGAGAGAGAGCAGAGAGACCAGAGAGAGACTAGAGAGAGAGCAGAGGGAGAGCAGAGAGAGACCAGAGAGAGACCAGAGAGAGAGCAGAGAGAGTAGAGAGAGACCAGAGAGAGCAGAGAGAGAGCAGAGAGAGAGCAGAGAGAGACCAGAGAAAGAGCAGCAAGAGAGCAGAGAGAGACCAGAGAGAGAGACCAGAGAGAGAGACCAGAGAGAGCAGAGAGAGACCAGAGAAAGAGCAGCAAGAGAGCAGAGAGAGAGCAGAGAGAGAGACCAGAGAGAGAGACCAGAGAGAGACCAGAGAGAGAGATCAGAGAGAGACCAGAGAGAGACCAGAGAGAGAGATCAGAGAGAGACCAGAGAGAGAGCAGAGGGAGAGCAGAGAGAGACCAGGAAGAGACCAGAGAGAGAGCAGAGAGAGACCAGAGAGAGCAGAGAGAGACCAGAGAGAGGCCAGACAGAGGCAAGAGGGAGACCAGAGAGAGAGCAGAGAGAGACAAGAGAGAAAGAGCAGTGAAAAATGAGTGACCCAGAGAAATAAACCAGAGTGCTGTGTTTGTGCTCGATTTGTAAATCCGCAACACAAAGAGTTTTGTAAAAGTAAAATGTTGAGAACAAATCAGACCAAAACATGCTGTATTTTACATTATAAAGAGCCCTGAGTCTTTATTTGATTATTGGGGTGGGAATCTTGAGGCACCTCACGATTCAATTACGATTCAGATTCTGCGATTCGATTATTGTTGCATTTTTAATATCCGTATATTAATGCACCTTATCCACATTTCCAGAGTTAAATTAATTTCCATTATATTGTATTACCTTCATGAAGTTATCCACTGGATTGGAACTGCAAGAACGTTTCAACTTTAGTGTACCACTCAAGATGCTTTGTGCTGCTTCTTTGCACTACTTCAGCACCAACAGCTCAAAACTATAATACCGCTGCAGTGGCTTTCATAATTCGCTTGGCCTTTTGCAATGTGGGTGGCAGCTTACCCAAAGCCTCCTCCACTGTTCTCTGGCAAGGTGAGTTAATTAGTTCAGCCATGCTCATTGTTGTTTATTTGCTTTTTTGGTCTGTAGTGTGCTGTGGATGTACATATTCCCCTGTTCCATTTTCCCCATAGCATTTTGAAGACCGCCTTACTGTATTTCATGGATTGTTTCTGATTCTTCCACGGTCGAATCGCGATAAATCAAATAATCGGAAATTCACTCCACCTCTACTGTTTGACACTTATTTGGGCTGAGAGCTGATTGGCTGAGTGAATGTGGTCCTCTCTCTTTCACTTTTGTGTCTGAAAAAGCTGATCTAAAGACATGACAGAGGCCTAGATCAATATTGTGAGAACACGATAGTGATAGAACAAGTTAGATGGATTTGATTGCATAGTTTATTGTCCTTTGCAAGTTAGGTACCTGAGCTTTAGGTAGAAATATGTATAAACATGGCTAAGATATGAGAGGAATCAACACTTTTGACTAGTGGTAAATATAGGGATACACTCCAATAGATTGACCTCAAAATACAACATGACGTTGTCTAATTGAGGGAATGAAATTTGACTTTAAAATACCATAACGTTTTTTAGAGGCCATAATTAAGTTCTGCCATAAAAAAGGCAGATTGCGGCTTTTTCATGGAATAACCAGTTTGAGATGTGTTCCCGAGGTTTGTCATTTTATCCCACTGGGTTTTTAGAGTTGTTCCAAACATGGACGCGCCACAGAACTTAGTCAACATTTGTGGACATTGGTCTCTGCCCCTCATGAACCTATGTTGTTTTAGCATTTCTTGCGTCTGAACTGATTGATTCTCTGTTGTGTTGGTAAATAAAGAAAACTATTGTTGTGATTTTGGACAAATGTAAATTGAATTGAATTGTTTTAGAAGTTCCTGATATGGATTGAGCCACAACAAGGTCTGTTTTTGATGAGGTGGGCAAGAGATAAAGACAGACAGAGATCCTTTTGTCCCTCAGTGGGGAAAATTCAGGGTTGCATCACAAGTTAGAGAGCAGTAGGAATGAGGAGCACACAGCACAATATATGATACAGTAAGTGCACAAAGTTGTAAAAAGGTAAAAGGCTCATAAAAGACCATTGGTATAGTGAATATATCATATATATATATATATATATATATATATATATATATATATATATATATATATATGTCTTGGTGTTAGCTGCATGTGTTGTATATTTCACATGGCCTTTGTACTGTATACATTTGTCCTGCTGTTGCTTCCGACTGCTAAAGACAGAGATTAGTATGTAAATTGATGGCTTGAAGTCCCCAAAGAAGCTGGGTGCAGAGTGAAGGGCTGTTATTAAGCTGTGATTGCACAGATTTGACCCGCCTCGAGATCCTGTGATCCCAGCCTTCTGCGGGACATAAGGAAATTAAGCCTTAGCACAAACACAGATGGAATGCATATTGAAAAAGTAGCTTGCAGAGAGCAAATATTTCCCTTTAATTCCATTCAATGAGCATGCTTGTGTGACTCTCTTTGCGATCTCTCTCTGTGGTCTCTCTCTGTGGTCTCTCTCTGTGTGTGCGTGTATGTGTGTGTGTGTGTGTGTGTCTCTCTCTGTGGTCTCTCTCTGTCTCTCTTTCTCTCTCTCTGTGGTCTCTCTCTCTGTGGTCCCTTTCTCTGTGGTCTCTCTCTCTACGATAGATATCTCTCTCTCTCTGTGGTCTCTTTCTCTGTGGTCTCTCTCTCTATGATAGATATCTCTCTCTCTCTCTGTGGTCTCTTTCTCTGTGGTCTCTCTCTCTATGATAGATATCTCTCTCTCTCTGTGGTCTCTTTCTCTGTGGTCTCTCTCTATGATATCGCTCCCTCTGTGGTCCCTCTCTCTTTCTGGTCTCTCTCTGTGGTCTCTCTTTCTGTGGTCTTTTTCTTTGTGGTATCTCTCTCTCTTTCTCTGTGGTCTCTTTCTCTGTGGCCTCTCTCTATTATATCTCGTCTCTCTGTGGTCTCTCTCTGTGTTCTTTCTATCAACTATGGTCTTATAATTTCTCATAAAATGTGTCTAGAAGTGGTGACAATATTCAAAGACATACTGTATGCAAGATGTTGGCCAAAAGAAAAGACATTTTACTTTCTCTATTGTCACAGCTACACAGGTCATGCTTATGCAGCTAAAACGGTAAGTCAGACTGAAAGATTACTTGCTGCAGTTCTATCATGCTCAGGGCTAGTCCCTTCAGCCTCAGCCAATCACATGCCTGCCAGCTGCCGACCCATGCCAATCAAGCACCAACTTCCTGCCAACTAGTGCTTCTTCAAGGTCTCGCAAACCCATCGCCTCCTCTGGCCCCAAAAAAATTTGGTTCTATCACTCGTTTTCATGAATTTTTGGTCACAGCTTTAGATCAGCAAGACCACCCTCCCTCAGCCAATCAGCTATCAACCCAAGGCATCAGAAAATGACTCCTATATTTTATGATCTCTCTATTGTCTTTGGGATCTCTCTGTCTGGTCTTACAAAAATAAATTCTCTCTGGCTATACAAAAATGAATTGACTTGAATGGATGTTGCTCACCTCCGATCAGCATGGTGCAAATAGAGAAAATCTTCTCTGAGTCCGTATTCGCCGAGACGTTCCCGAAGCCCACACTGGTCAGACTGCTCAGAGCGAAGTACAGGGACGTGACGTACGAGCTCCGCACCGAGGGCCCTCCGCTCAGAGTCACCCCAGAGCCCAGGGGCCGGACCCGGGGCCGCACCGGAGGAGGCAGCCCTGAGGAGTTCCACTGACTGCTGTTGGACACGGCTGCAGACAAGGTGGGCTGAGACACAAGAAAGGATAAGTTGGAATTTTAAATGTATATGTACTGTACAGTAATAATGGGCTCAAAATACATCCTCAACAAATTTTCAACAAATAGGTTGCATTAATGTGATATCACAATGTTCCAAAGAACCTTTAGTTTCACATTGTGGTACAGGGCAGCTGAACTTTTGTGTGATAACTGAGGTAAAAGTCGAAAAAAAAGATTCTTGTCTTTGTTTAGAGCTAATTGCTCTGTATTTCCTCCGGTCTTTCTCCGGCTTCTCTCTCTTGTATTTCTGCCTGCTCTCTCTTTGATCTCTCTCTGCTCTCTTTCTGGTCTCTCTCTCTAGTCTGTTTCGAGTCTCTCTCTGATCTCTATTTCAGATCTCTCTCTGCATAACAGCTCTATCTCTTTGATTTCTCTCAGCCTCTCTCTCTAGACTCTCTGATATCTCTCTGTTCTCTGGCCTCTAACAGATCTCTCTCTCTGTGGTCTTTCTATGAACTATGGTCTTCTGATTTCTATGAACTATGGTCTACTTCTCCGAAAAGGAGACTAGAAGTGGTGACAATATTCACAAACACATGCACAACGTTGGCCAGAATGAAGAACTTTCCGACTTAGATTTATTCACAAAAATTTACTTTTACAAGACTTCCCTTTTCTCTAATAAGGTCCCATCTAAAATCATGTCTTCTTTAACAAACTGCGATCACATGTGACTAGAGAGTGATTGAGATTACATATGAATAGGTCACATTCAACAGTTTTCTCACCTCTGGGTCCGCCATGCCCAGCAGGGAGAAGTACGGTGTCCCGAGTCGCTTGGCCAGCTCATGCAGCCATCCTGGGGAGAGACAACACCATGAGGACCAGATACAAGTGCACGCTGTGACCTTTCCCGGGAAGCTTCATTAGAACGGCGCTGTGAGGCATGCTGGGTAATTATTTGAGTCGTGGCGTGCGCGTTCGGGAGCGGTGCGCACCAGACGGGAAGGCCAACGGTTCAATAAAACGTCAGCTTGTATTTGTGTGAGGGGAGAGGGCATGTCATCCACTGTCAGCTGCATTATCTATAGTCTGTCAAATACAGACAGATACAATACGTAGGCTTGTCTCTATGTTGAAATAAAGAGATTTAAAAGCAGAGATATATGCTTCTGTTGGCTGTACACAGGTGTTTGTGTACTGCAGACCTGGGACAGCTGTGGGAAAGGTGGTCGTGTTGTTTAGACCGGTGTGCAGTTTTCAACAACAAAGGGAAGACAAGAATGTTTCGAAAAGAACTGAAATCAAACTTCCCATTTTCAAAATAAGTCACAGAGCCGTGCACCCAGTAACATGGTCTCCATAGAGAAAAAGAGAGAGACCAGAGAGAAAGAGAAGAGACAGACCAGAGAGAGAAAAGAGACAGACTATCTCTGTAAACCCTGGCAAGTAAAGTTTACTTGAAAAAACCTTGGAAATAAATTGCACATTAACTTCACTTGAATTCCTCGTGTATATTCTTAACTTGATGTTGCCAAGTGAGCTCAACCGATTGCAATAAAGTTTGACTGTGATTTCAACGTATACATATATCAGAAAGGACATGTTCTAACTGGGGTTCAAACTCAGTATCTTCTTAAATAAACTCACAATAAACAAGTAATATTTACTTACTGGGAAGAATATGTTTAAAATAACTTTGATATCTGAAGTAAGATTGAATTTAGGGTTCACGGAGAGACCAGAGGAAGAGAGAAGAGACAGACCAGAGACAGCGACCGTAGAGAGTGTGAGAGAGAGACTATAGAGAGAGGGAGACCAGAGAGAGATGAGAGATGAGAGAGAGACCAGAGAGAGATGAGAGAGAGAGAGAGAGAGAGAGAGAGACCAGAGAGGACATACAGTAGAGGGAGAGAGACCAGACAGAGACCATAGAGGGAGAGAGACCAGAGAAAGTTGATCTCAATTGAAAGTCCTGCATTGATCCATTGTGTGAGAGCCTCACGCAGAGATCTCCATCAACCTCCCATGAGGCCGACCAGCTGAGGAGGAGTGTGTGATTGGGAAGTTTGGCCGTCTTTGCTTAGACCGCTGCCCTCGCAACCCGGGAACGGATGAAGCGGGATGTTATTATTGAACTATTTTAGTATTATCATTTTTGTACTTTTTACTTTTGAATTCACTGGAAAGGGCAGCAAGTCCTAAGGAGCTTTGAAACAGTTGTTTTGTGCTTTACAATCGTCATTTTTCTTCCATCCATCCATTTTCTTCCCCTTAATCCATTTCTGGGTTGGGGGGATGGCAGTCAGAGCTGCACCCTGTACACATAGCACCTGCCCCTCACTGATCCTCCTGCAGGTGGTGAGTCCACAGGAGCCTTGATCTTTCAGTGGGGGCTTCAGGCAAAGTGGGGTTAAGTGTCTTGCCCAAGGACACAACGACAGCAGTCATCATGGGAGTCATGAAGTAGGTCTTCTGGTGGGCTCGAACCCACGACCTTCAGACGCAAAGGCCAATGCTCTACCAACTGAGCTACTGTCGCCCTTTCGTTATTTTTCTTACATTAATCAAATCAACATGTGTTTTTTCAACATGTAAATGTGCCAGAGTTAACATGTAGGCTAATTTTCATTCGTAGTCCCATGACATGTTGATATCAGGACAGATAAACATTGTAGAAAATAGGTAAATTAGCACAGATAACCTCTGACTAAAAACCAAGGCATTAAAAGATCTGTACTTCATCTGTTGATTTTGAATTGGAACTCCTGTAATTTGTGTCTGAGAGCTCCGTTTGATTGCACCTCGCTTATGCTGCAAAAACAGGATGTGGACCAGAGCCGTGAGAATCTCTCCGTTATTTTGCGTTGAGTGTGAAACGCAGCAGGAGCGGAGGAACACAATTGGAAGTGTTTTTCTCAGCAAAAGGATGCCACATGCCGCAAATACACAATGCAGAGCAAGCTATTTGTCAAAAAATATGCGCCGTTTCGGATTTCGGATTTGGCTAAATTAAGAAATTCTGGTCAAAATAATGAGAGCAGCGGTTTGTGTAGTTTGGGATTAAACGTGATTTTAATTTAGAGACACAATTTTTCTTTCAGGCAAATTCATGACTGAGAAAAAAGGGCAGGGAGGGAGGGAACAGAGAAAGAGATCAGAGTGAGAAACCAGAGGGAGAGAGACAACAGAGAGAGATCAGAGAGAGAAACCAGAGGGAGAGAGACAACAGAGAGAGATCAGAGTGAGAAACCAGAGGGAGAGAGACAACAGAGAGAGATCTTAGAGAGAAACCAGAGGGAAAGAGACAACAGAGAGAGATCAGAGAGAGAAACCAGAGGGAGAGAGACAACAGAGAGAGATCAGAGAGAGAGAGAGTCTAGAAAGACAACAGAGAGAGATCAGAGAGAGAGAGAGTCGAGAAAGACAACAGAGAGAGATCAGAGAGATAGATATGAGAGAGAGAGACCAGGGAGAAAGACTAGAGAGATAGACCAGAGAGAGACCAGAGATAGAGACCAGAGAGGGTCTAACAGGATGAAGACAGCCTGTTGTGGTCTGAACAATTCACTTTTTACAAGACCCGTCCTGTTGTGACAAACAACATGTGATGTTTATGAAACAAAAAGTTAGGTACCCCAGCTTTAAGGGCCGAAATATTCATTATTTAACCACATCTGCTGTTTCTACACTGTCTTGTACTCTCTGTAATCCATTCAAACGGCCTCTGTGGACTTTGGTTTGAATGTCTTTGAACAGAAATCAATGAGACCAGCGCTTTTCCATCACCTCACACTGAGAACTGTTCACAGCATTAGCACCCTGGGGACGGCGGTCTGGACACCTTTCTGTTTTGTGAGATCCATAAAGTGCAGGATTGGAAGCCGCTCGAACAGTAACAGTCCATAGAGATGAGAGAAACAATGTTAAAAGTTAATGAAAAGCGTCACTTGTCAATACAGCATCACACTGGTGTCAGAATAGCCCGGGATAAAGACGCATTCTAAAACCTCTGTTGGTTTAGGGCAGGTATGTCCCAACTCAGGCCTGCGGGCCAAAATGCGGCACTCTGTGCCATTCTATGTGGTCCTTTTGCTGCTAACACAAAATTTGACAGTGTCAACCAACTTCAGCTTCACCAATACAGTCATGCTATACCTGGTTGTAATCCAGTTGTTGACTTTATTGTTATTTACTGACATTTGTTTTATGATAGTGTCACAACATTCCAATTAAAATGCAGCTGTGTTGGGAATCAATAATGATGCATCAAAGCTCATTTTCAATTCCAGAATCCAGTCAATCCAGCTCCAATCCAGTTTTTTAAATCCAGGTTATCGGCCCCAGGTCAAGTCTGATGAACTAAAGTGGCCCTCTTACTATAAAGTTTGGACAAACCTGGTTCAGGGTTACAAAAAAAGCAGAGAGAGAGACCAGAGAGAGCGAGAGAGACCAGAAAGAGACCAAAGAGAGAGATCAGAGAGAGGACAGAGAAAAAGAGAGATAGATACCAGAGAGAGAGAGAGACCAGAGGCCAAAGAGAGTGAGAAAGATACTAGATAGAGACAGACCAGAGACCAAAGAGAGAGAGAGAGAGAAAGAGAAAGAGAGAGATACCAGAGTGAGAGACCAGAGGCCAAAGAGAGAGACAGAAGGACACCAGAGAGCTGTAGAGCCATGTTTAAGTGAGCAAAGCTATTACTGTCAGAGTTTGAAGACACCTAAATGACAAAAACCAAATTTTTTGTATACATATTTGTTCAATAATTAAAAACATATATAAATATATTTGTTGTCCTTCTGAAAATTAACAACAACATACATACAAATGGCAATAATTAATGACATATTTGTATTATCTTTGTCAAAATAATACAAATATATACAGTATTTATAAAACAAAACAATAAAGACCATTTCTCACCTATGTCCCAGGAGGAGGCGCTGTTGGTCTCGATCTCGCTGCGGCCGATGAAGTACCAGACGCAGGCCATCCAGTGAGCGAGGAGAGCGAAGGTGGACATCAGGAGGGTCAACACCACCGCACTGTACTGGGAGTAACGGTCCAGCTTCTGCAGCAGCCGCAGCAGCCGCAGCAGACGCACCGTTTTCAGCAGGTGAACCCCGAAGTTCTGAGGGGAAGACACAATCACAGTGTTCTTCTTTCTTTGACTAAACCCAACAAGAAGAATTGAAGCAACCCACTCCATCGGGATTAAGGTTGTATCAATGCTAAAGTGATCAATGCACATATTGCTTACTAATTTCAGTTTAAACCCATTTTAAAATGTTAACAACTTGAATTTCTTTGTTGTACATGCAATTATCTTGCATTAAAACATATTTGGTTACATTTTACAAAACATTTACTATCTTCCCTCAGAGCTGCAACTAAATGCTCATAGCACCAGCTCCTCACTGATCCTTTGGCAGGAGGTGGATCCAACGACCAACTGAGCTACTGTCACACCTTTTTTCTTTATTTTGAGAAAACTATAATCGCACACAAAAGTTCAATTTAAAAAAACTTGCGCCTGACAACTATGAAGGTTTTATAAATGACAATGTAGTAATAAATGCAGGCAATGTAAAAGAGTGCACTTCAGGTCACAGCAGCAGAGGTGCTGCTTTGGTTGATGTCTGCAGAGTCTGCTTGGTTTGGACCATTTTCTCTGCTCTGGTTCAGGGTGAAATTCTGAATGCTATTCTGAATTAGCATTTTTCCAAAAATATATAAATGTCATTCCTCCAGTGGATTTACGCTTGATCTGCTTGGTTGGGACTGTGCATCTTCTTTGCTCTGATCTGGATCAGTGTAAAACCATAAACACTGTACTGCAGCAATATTTACAGCTAGAAAAAAAAAAGAAAATGATGATTGTAAACAACAAAACAACTGTTTCAGAGATACTTAGGACTTGCTGCCTTTTCCAGCCTATACATACTGTAGGTGGGATTATAAAGTCTTAAAAAGGTCTGGATTGTCACTAGACATGTTGCCACCATATTTTTAACTCACGGAGGAAGGAATAAGGAATACTTGAGATAATCTGTCACAGTAATATGCAATAATGCGTGAAAAAAGTTAGGTACCCCAGCTTTAACAGACCTACCACTGCATGTGCACACTATATAGTCCCCAGTCTCAAAACAAGTCTCAAATTTTTGAAAAACTGTCTTCATAGATTATGGGTAAAATGTCTTTCTGTCATTGCACTGGTTTCGAGCCACTCAACATTAAAAGTTGTCAGTGCATTTTATCATTTAGGCCCAATGGCAAAGTTCAATTAGCAAAGCACGGATAACTAAATACAGCTGTCAGACAGAATCAATGCAGGCGAGAAGTTTGATTGGTCTTTTTACCATTAATGATTTTTAGCTCTGGTCCTATCATATACAAACCAATGACAACGCCTAAGTAAGTAATTCTATCCCACTATTTGCTCGAATCTAATTAGATTCCACGGATAGCATTTGTTTAGAGAGGATTGGTTTTGTAGCCTGGTCAGCCTGGCTATTTGTCATTCTGTGGAACAACACGGTTCATTAAAATGAGTTTAACTGAGCAATAAACAGAGGAATTGCAATTTGAGGAGACTGGAGCAGCGACTGAGGCAGAGACTGAATCAGAGAAAATTCAACATCTCAATATCTTTAATATCTATATTTGTATATATATAACCCACACATCTTTCGCCCTCTGCGGGCGGTTATCCCTCTCTAAACTTGGGTCCTCTACCAGAGGCCTGGGAGTTTGAGGGTTCTGCGCAGTATCTTTGCTGTTCCTAGCACTGCACATTTCTGGACCAAAATGTTCCCAGGTTGTTCCAGGGATCTGTTGTAACCACTCCTCAAGCTTCGGGGTCACTGCCCCGAGTGCACCGATCACCACGGTCACTACTGTCACCTCTACCCTCCAGGCCCTCTCCAGCTCCTCTCTGAGCCCTTGGTATTTCGCAAGCTTTTTTTCCTCCTGATATTACCATTGCTTGGAATTGCCACGTCACCTCCACGGCTTTCCTCTGCCCTTTGTCTACCACCACAATGTCAGATTGGTTTGCCATTACATTCAGTTGGTCTGTATCTGGAAGTTTGCACGCTCATTCTCCATCACCTTTGGAGGAGTTTCTCATTTAGACCTTGAGGTTTCCAGCCCATACTTTTCATAAATGTTTCTGTACACTTTGTATACTTGGTCATGGCGTTCCATGTAGACTTTCCCTGCGAGCATCTTGCACCCTGCAGTTATGCGTTGGATTGTCTTAGGTCCTCCTTTTCACACCGACATTATGAGTCTTGTCTGGTGTGGTATATAGGGACCTGCGCCTTTAAATATATATATGTATATATATATCATACTGTGGGACAATAGAATGTTCTTGTCTTATGTTAATGAAACAGTCGGTGTGAGTGAGTGGAACTGACCACACTGATGTTGAAGGCGTAGAGCAGGTCAAAGGGCAGCGCGGCGATGAGGTCCACGAACAGCCAGGACGTGACGTAGTGGATGCAGATGGAGCGCGGGTCGTACACCACCTGACCCGACGTGCTCACGAATGTGGTGCGGAAATTCAACACGATATCTGCAACCAAGAGACAGGCCTGTTTAAAGCTGGGTTACCTCACTTTGTCTAAATGAATAATGTCAGAGCTGCCCCTAAAGGTGGAAGTAGGGCGTTACAAGGGTCTGCGAGTGGTTAAAGATTAATGTCTTTACTGCCCATTGTGTCATGATTAGAGGAGCAATATGTAAACATCTGGCAAAAAGTGTTGCTCTCTCTGACTCAGGTTGCCAGATATGCAGACGAATCCAGCTGGGATCATAAAAACTAAATAGACAAGAGTTTTGTCAGCAACAAATCTATAACTAACACCTTTTTCACAAAGGCCCCGATAGAAATCCTCGTTTTATTACATGTTTTTTGTCGTTAATGATTTGAGAATCATAACGAGACCATGGGCAAGTACTACGGCCACATGTTACTTTACCGGTGAGATTAGCTCGGTGTGGGGAGTTCTGGCAACCCGGATCACGGACTTTCTGGAAACAATAACAAAATGAAGGGGCTGTATAACTAATTTTTAAATTCAAATATCTCGGCTGAACTAATGTTATCAGTTAAATAAGTATTGGAAAAGAGCATGGTTTGACTTTTGACAGATTAGGGCCATTTAATTATGACTTGACATGAAAATCTCACATAATTTGTATGAAATCATTCAGAAGAAATATCCTGATTTATATTGGCTGAAGATTAAAAATTATATTGGTTATTTAAAAATAAAAGGTTTTTTGTTTCGGTCACATTTGTGAAGAAGACTTGAACACTGAAACAGAGCAGAAATTATAGCTGTGTTTTTTATTTATTTTTATTTATTTATATATTATAGAGGGACAATGTAGTCATACTGTCATGGTGTGGATTTTTTTCCCGTATTTGTTTTATTTTGACATAGTTCTCTGTGGTTTCATTTCAGTATTTCTTGCTTTCCTGTTTCCCTGTTGATTGTCTGGCCCGCCCTGATGTGTTTCACGTGTGTCTGTGTCTATATGTACCTGTGTCTATATGTACCTTTGTCTATATGTACCTGTGTCTGTGTTTATATGTACCCTGTGCTCCTCTCCCCTTGGGGCTGGTTCATCGTATAGTCAAAGTCTCATCTGTTCCGTCGTGTTTCTGGTTCTCTGGATTTTTCTTTTATTATCATCAAACCATTATATTTGGCATTCCTGCATTTTGGGTTCTTGCTGCATCTCACCTCGTGACACACATATAGTTTATAGCATGAAAGAGGCAACTGATGCGACACATATTGAGTGTGTAGTTAATGCTAATTTTCAGCTCCTGGCAGAGCTTTTCCCGACAGGGCGCTACTCATTATACAGGATTTCTGTATAATGCAGGTTGCTTGGACCATCTTTCTTTTTTTATGTCAGTACAAGCCCATGTGGGGTGGGCACATGTCTGCATGACGCTTAAATAACATTCATTCACATGTTGTTTGTCGTGATGGAAAAAGTCAGTCACAAATCAGACCACAACATCCACTTCCTTTTTTTTCTGATCTAAAGACAGAGAAATACATACATGTGAAAACTAGTGATTGAAACTGTTTTGATGAATGTACATACAATAGTTCTAACCTAACTAACCTAAGAAAGTGTTATTCACAGGTTTCAGAGTGACGGAAGGTGAAGACTGTTGCCAAAATTATGAATAAGTCAAAACAAATGGAAGGGCATATTTTTATCCCTCTTGTTGATATATATTTTTTATTGAGTAGAACAAATAACATAAATAAATAAATAGAATCATAATAATTAAATACACAATTTAGAAAATAAATAATAATATAATTTTAGAGTACATATTGTATTAAATATTTCTAACAATGATTCAAACCTTCACTCTTGCTTGAAATGCCACGCCAAGCAAACCCTAAGCCATGGCATTTCTAAATCCAGATTCTTTAACACTGAAGTTAATGCTTTGAATGTTCGACTATTCATAAATGTACAAGTTTCATGTAAAAAACCTAAAATTCCACAAACCAAAAAATTCGAACTTGACAAAAGCGACACATTTTCCAGCAATTAAAGCGTAAAAAATCTGATGAAACAAAGGCTCTCACGTCGCCCATATGCCAACTCCTGAAAGCAGACTGTTCCAAATCACTGAGGGGAAAAAACACTGCCGGCGGTTTACATTTTTGGCAGTGAAGACGTCTTATTTGAATAATGGATTTGACTCAAACCAATTAACTCTTAGGAAAGTTTTTAATTATGCAGTTTATTAAAATCTATTTGCCTTTAGGGTTTAGGATGAACTGGGCCTCAGCTCTCTTGGATCTGGGATCGATACGACGTCACAAACCCAGGTTCTAACTCGCATCAGAGGGAGCTGGGTCCAGTCCAGTTTTCTTTGGGTTGAAACTAAGAAACCTAATTTTTGAAGACTGCAAAGAGACACAAATACAGCTGTTTAGCCTCCGTCATGCACTGAAAGAAGATAGAAGAGCTATTCTTACTGGATGAAAGGAAAGCAGAGAGAACTCTTATGGACGTGGATGTCAGTGTGTGTGTGTTTGTGTGTGTGCGTATGTGGGTGTGTGTCTGTGTCTATGTGTGTCTATGTATGTGTCTATGTGTGTGTGAGAGAGAATTAATGGTGGTGTTCATTACCACCCTACTTTTGGAACTATTAGACGCACCTGTATATTTATTTATTTATTTAGACACTTATTTAAAGAGGAAAAACCCCATGAGATCCTCTATAGACAGGTTACAGCAGAGTAGTCTTTCGATGTACAACAACAGCAAAAGAAACAAAATGATACGAGAAATGTGTATAGATTCCAAACACAAAAACACACAAACACACACAAACACACCAACTCTCATTTACCCCCCCCCCCCCCCCCCCTCCACTACCAATACATTAAAGATGATATTACAATCTTGTGAAAGCATATTTAAGAAGTACATATACAAACATAAACATATAATAATAATAACAATGCATCAAAGACGCTTTACATTTCATTATTCTGTCACTCCAAACACAGTGGTGATGAACTACTACTGTAGCCACAGCTGCCCTGGGGCACACTGACAGAAGCGAGGCAACCAGTATGCGCCATCGGCCTCTCCGACCACCACCAACCATTGGTGAAGAGTCTTGCCTAAGGACACAACAGAAGTTTGGCACTTTACAGCTGCAGCCGTCCCACTGTGGCATCAGGAGTTCCCAGAGGCACAACGACAGCAGACATCAGTGAGAGTCGATGGTGAAAGTCGGGCTCGACCCCCCGACTCTCTGGCTCAAAGGCCAATGCTCTACCAACTGAGCTACTGTCGCCCTATTATATCACGCATGAGTGAAAGGTATACATTTCCCATGCACACAACCAATGATGAAACCATTAGATAGATTACAGGCAGAAAAGAATTAGATACGATAAAAAAAAAAGTATCACAAAGACTTTGCCTAAGCCATTCGATTGTAGTTGTCCCACTCACTACGGACTGGAGTTATACACAAACAAGTGTTTTGCAAGTGTGTGAGAGTGGCTCCTCTGAAAGTAAGAAATGAAGTTATGGAACAAATAGAAGCAGGAAGGCTGTTCCAGTGAGGGGCTTTTACAAAGAAAGCGTGTTTCTCTACGTCTCTGATAGCTCTGGGAACAGTAGAGAAAAGATGACATTGTGACGTAGACTCTAAGAGGAACTGAAAAGAACTAAGTATTGCTTTAGGTATAATGAAAAATTAAAGTGGATGCATTTGAAAATGAGTTGAAACCAATGGTGTTGGCGTCCAGCGGTAAGTGTGAGCCGAGACAGTTCATACATAAGGCAGTGATGCTGTGAGGGCAGCGAAGAGTGAATCTGCAAAGACTGCTATAGGCCACATTTAGAGAGTGTAGACAGGTGGTGGAAGTGTTTTGATACGCAAGGTCAGCATTATCCAAAATTAGTAGGAGCAATTGAATGAAAATAATTTTCCTAATCAGAAAATTAAAACAGTTAAATGATTGTTAAAGAGTTTTTAGCTTTAGTAAATAAGCCGCATACCCAAAATTTGAAAATCAATGTTATCCACATACAGGCCGCACTTGAATAAAGCCATATGTTTTGCATGGTGTAATGAAGCAGAGACACGCCTGTTTTACGTGGTCACAACACGATCTAATGGCGAAGTTTACAGTTTAACTGTTAGCTTACTTTCACTACAATACACAATACCATACAATTTATTCTTGTATAGCCCTAGGTCACAACAGAAGTAATCTCAGAGGACTTAACAAAACCATTGAAATTACCAACACAGGTCAGAGAATCAACAGTTAAAACACATGAAAAATATAAAGCACACACAGAAGAAAATGTCCATACATGTTGTAGAATGCTAAAGTGTCCTGATCATCACCAATCCTTTCTGTTGGACACTAACTGTCCAACAAGACCCTCCTGCATCGACAAGGAAAAAGTGAGAAACCTTGGGGAGAACTAGGGAAACCCACAGGGAGGGAGACCCATTTGAGAAAGGGATCCGTTCCTCCGGACGGACAAGTCTATTATGACATTAAACAAGCTTGTGTGACGTAACAATGACTATATAAATCATGTCCTGACTCCATTTTGTGGAAAAGAAAGAAACAACTGAAACCACTGGAACTCAAGAGAAGCCTAATGAGCTTCCAGAGCTTTGGCGCACCACGATCTGTCTCTGTCTGGTTCATTCCTGACAAAGCTACAAAAGCTACAAAGTTCTAGAGCTACAAAAACTTGATTAACTTGAGTCCATAAACTCAGCTCTGACAACTCTACTACATGTTGTACCAATTAGACACACTCTACATCTACATCTACCATCTGTCATCAAGTTTGATGCATTCATGAAAAATACATCAAGATATTCCATATTTTTTCCTCAGTGGTTACTATAGTTTATACAGGGTTGAGGCTTTGGATTGACTTTCTGCAACATGGAAAAATGCCCATTTATAGTAGCTAAAGACTCAGGACTATAGAAGCTAAAGACTCAGGACTATAGAAGCTAAGGACTCAGGATTGTAGTAGAGTACAGTACCTCTGTGGTAGCTACTACCTCTGAAAGGTCTCAGACACAGAGACGCTGCAGAGCTGCAGCAAAAAGCCACTCTCTGTTAGCATAAAAGCCCACCTGAAACTTCCGGCACTCCCGGCGGGCGCAACCACAGGCCAGGACTCGTGGTCTGAACACTCCTCCCATCTGAAATTTAGGAAATATCCGTCTACGTTGGCGGCTTGAACGCCAGATTACACCACTGGTGCAGAGAGACGTCACACATACCAACTGACGTCACACATCACTCCAGAGCCAATGAGAGGACAGGCACAAAATCCATGTAGTGCCACCAAAAAGGTAGAGAGGGCGCCACACAGATGGTTTTAGGCTTAAAAGTGAGATTTTATCTAATTCGCACTAAAATGTCAAAAAACATGACCAGGACATGTAGGGGAGCACTATAAGAAACATATTTATGCAGTTTATGATTCGGGGGTTAGTTGTCTTTTAATGTTAAATCTTCAGGGAACAATTGCAAAAATCGTATACATTTGAACACTTAACAAACAACAAAAGAATCCATTACCAATGATGAAGAGGATCTCCACCAGGATGTCGCTGACGGTGGGTGGGTTTCGCGCAGACACCACTCGGCCTTCCCGGATCTCGTCAGCGATGAAGCAGACGTTGTAGGGGACGGTTATGGCCACGTAGAAAGTGGCGAGGAGAATGAGCCAGTCCCAGCCGGCTTTGAACGCGCCGTAATGTAAAAGGATGAAGCGGGACTTCTGGACGTCCGCCACTTTGTACTCAGGGATGGGGTTGGCGTTGGCGGTGAGGACGCTCTGAGGAAGACAAGGCGAAATGTGTTTATGTGATTGGGCCACACCTCTCCAGAACTATTGTACATTTTTTAGTGGTAGGAGAAACCGGAGCACCTGGAGGAAACCTACAAAGACACAGGTAGAATATGCAAACAAGCAGGCTCAGATGTTCAACCCAGGACATTCTTCATGTTATTATATTATAATATTGAAAGCATGTAAAAGTACAAATAAACAGAAGAAGATTAACTACAAGGGAAAAGAACTAATTTGTTTTCTGAAGTTTTATGTCCCCTTTAAAGACTATAAATATAATGTACTGGGGAAACTAAGGGTGTATTCAGACCTGCACTTTTGGTCAACTTTAAACGGACCAGGATTTATTTGGAACTCTGATCTGAAGCTTTTATGCAGGTGTGAATACACACAAACGAATCCTGGTCCGGACCAAAGAACCGGACCGAGACCCCCTTTTGTAGGTGGTCTCGGTCCGCTTCCAATAGAACTCTGGTCCGAGACTTGTTAACTTGCAAAAAGTACAGTCTGAATACTAACCGGACCAAAAGAAAAATGTTTGGTCCGCTTTTGGTTCGGAGCAGACCAAAGGACTATTCTGGTCTGAATACACCTTAAGATAGATTATTGCTAAAAAGTCAATTCACTTCTGTAAGTCATCTTTTCAGCTATATGATGCACCCATTACACACAAAGTGAGATATAATGTTGATTACTGGCTCACAGCTTGTAAAAAATCTCTGAAGATTTCTAAGGGATAAATGTCTGAAAATTCTTCTCTATTGGGCTTCATTGAGCAGCTACAGTATATACGGTCTGTAATGCCCTAAGAGTAAATCAAAGTGTTTTTAGGTTAATATTGTCTCTGTTTATCCAGACCAACTCAGGATAAAACCAAGACTGTATAAGAAATTATTCATACTTTTGATGTGAAGCGGCTGTTACTACTTTCTTGCTTTTATCAATCAGATGTAAATTTCTTCTACTCCAACGAAGTCATTATAGTCTTGTCTAGACATAAGAGCTGTTTTACATAATCACATTAAAACAAAACACCAACCACTGTGGGCGCCATTTATTCTGTACAAAAATGTATTAGACTCATGTGAAACGACTTGATATTAGATGAATGTCATGTTTTCACTTGAGAAGACATCTTTGTGATTTGATTATGCTAAAACGCTAACCTAATTTTGCACAGTTGAAGGTTGGCACATTGTTTTGAAACCTTTTCGATGCACAGGCCAATTCCTATTACGAGTAGAATTGATATTCAATTTATGTTGGGAAAATTTTGGGCTCTTGGGTCAGGAAGAGATTTAAGGTTAAACATTTGGACCTTTTACAAGAACTGACCCCGGACTGAACCAGTTTTAGGCATACTCCACAAACATCATGTACCACCTCAAAAAACTGCTAGTATAACATGACAGTTATACCTTTTTTTTATAGTCAGAAGAAAACTTTTGTGGCTTGTGTGGATGCGATGATTTGTTCAGAGGACTCTCACGCTCTGGTCTCCCTTTCTGTGGTCTATCTGGTCACTCTCTTGTCTCTCTCTGGTTTCTTTCTGGTTTTTCTCTTTTGTATCTCTCTGGGTTCTCTCTGGTCTCTCTCTGATCTCCCTCCGGGTTCTCTCTGGTCTCTCTCTGATCTCTCTCTGGGTTCTCTCTGGTCTCTCTCTGATCTCCCTCCGGGTTCTCTCTGGTCTCTCTCTGATCTCCCTCCGGGTTCTCTCTGGTCTCTCTCTGATCTCTCTCTGGTCTCTCTCTGGTCTCTCTCCGGGTTCTCTCTGGTCTCTCTCTGATCTCTCTCTGGTCTCTCTCTGGTCTCTCTCTGATCTCTCTCCGGGTTCTCTCTGGTCTCTCTCTGATCTCTCTCCGGCTTCTCTCTGGTCTTTCTCTGATCTCTCTCCGGTGTCTCTCTCGCTCTCTCTGGTCTTCCCACAATCCCACTCCTGCCTGTGAGTGCAGTGTCCTATGCAAATGTTTTTCACAGTGTATGCACGGCTTTTGACAGCTGCAGCAGCGCTCAGACCTACAACCAACAGGTTTGATGTCTGTGGTCTCTCCCACTTTGGCAGACGTGAGTTCAGGTGGTTAAAAAAAAGTGCATAAAGTGTGTGTGAGGGGTTTAACAGAACTTCACAAATGTTGAGTTATTTTTTAGAAAGTTAACTTCAACATTATCAGATTTTTTTTTGTCCAGCATACTGATTGAGGTAAAAGTTGTCAAAATGTTGCTTTTTTACAACATTTCTACACTGGATACACAAGACTGCTTTATACAGGGTTACACTAATTTAGATGTATCTGCAGTTTACTTGTGACTTCCACTTAAGAAACTAAATATAATTGTCACATATAAAGTTTATAAACACATATGCATATTTCTTTCCAAACACGCCACTGATTCACTAGTATTTAAGTTTTGTTCATAGGGTTATCAAAAGCAAACACATACATTGAACTTAGAAATAAAACTCAAAATGAGCTATAATGGAAGTATTGATCCATTTAATTGAAGTAGTAGCCCATTCGTATGACTTATAAATAGTAAATCATATATATTATTCACTGTGACAGCTTCTGTTGCTGTAATGTGCATTGATTTTAATATCTTAGAAAGGTTAATCTTGTCTTCTTAGTAGATTAAGTAATTTGGTTCTACTATACCAGACAAAAGTAAGATTGCAATGTTATTACCTCATGCTGTCGAAAAACATGTCAAGGTAAAAACATATCTATCTTACTTTTGTCTGGTATAGAAGAAACAAAGATCTGATTTGGTATTACATTCCAAACATGAAAACAGTTGAAATCAGATTTTAAATTTCTCCTAAAAATCGAACATCTTGTATCATAGCGTTTACCTCAATATTTCAACATTCCGATTGCAAAGTGCTGCTCGAATTGTTGCCGCAAACTTTGAGGAAAAAAGTAGAAATTAGAGGAGCTTCGCCTGTATCAGCAGTCCAGGCCGTGGTCCGGTGTTTGCTTTGATAGATACATTGCTTTAGATAAGAAAACTCTCTGTAATGATCAAACGCCAACACAACAGCACTGAAGGCTTGGGGTGAGGTGAATACAAAAAGCATGAAAACTCCCAGAGGCTTTTGGTATGAGACTGGAATCTGTTAAACTTGTACAAGATTCCATTAATCTCAGCTCATCTCTGCAGATAGGTGGATCAGGTGACAATACACAGCATGATTGATTGACTGATTTTTTGATAAGTATTTACAATATTTACATTCCTTAGTTTACATGACTTTTTATACCTGTTGACTTATGTGCTTACAGTATGTACTTATACATGCAATTATATAAACATAACTATACAATCAAGCCACAATATTTTCCCTAGTTTCACCATGTGTTGTATATCTACAATATGAATATGTATTTACAAATGAACCTCTATTTACAATTTGTCAGCTCGAAATGGAGTGGGAAGGAAGTGTAAACTTGTTGACTCCCACCCCATAAACATAATTCAAATACATGCAATAATTTTGTTATTTAGCATTGAATAAATAATACCTTTTATAAAAATGTGTCGTTTTCAGTGCAATTTAAAACTTTAATAATGCTAAATCTGAAACAATGATCACTGTGCCCCAGCAAGGCCCAGCGCCCCAAGAAGCAGCCACCACAGCAGTAGGCCAATCATGCAGAGGACCGAGGGTCCAACACACAGCCATTAGGGGCCACCTCACTGGTCATTCAAATTATTGTTTTATTCTGTAAGATGAAAAGGCATTTTATCAATTCTACAGAGTTTAAGCAAAGGAAGGTTTCTCACCCATCATCTGTATTTTTGTCTTAACGTTAAGACAGAAATTAGTGCATCCCAAAGACAGAACACCCAGACACAAACAGAGCAATGTGGTGTATTCAATTAAATGTAGTGAAGAGGAGTGCACTGACCCCTATATTGGAGAAACTAAACAAACTCTACAGAAACGACTTGACCAACATCGTAGAGAAAACTCTAGTGGGCCACAGTCGGCTGTTCATCTCCACCTCAAGGCCTCCAACCACACGATGGATGACACAGAGGTTATTCTGGCTCGGGAGAAGAATTGGTTTGAGAGAGGAGTGAAAGAAGCCATTTTGTGAGGAAACAAAAACCTTCTCTTAACAGAGGAGGAGGGTTAAGATTTGTTTTGATTCGCATCTATGACAACATCCTAAAAACAACACCCTAACTTGGGACAAGGTCAGTGACATGCTAATGGGTAAGGAGGGGTGAGACCTGCACTCCACTTGAGCATCCCAGCAGACAATAGGTCTGTGACATGCTAAGGAGTTAGGAGGGGTGAGACCTGCACTCCACTTGAGCATCCCAGCAGACAATAGGTCTGTGACATCTTAGATTGTTTATGAGTTAGTATCAGGATTAGGGTGTGGCTAACCACACCCATAAGTTTTAAATCTCCAACGCGCGGTCCGAGAATTCATTCCCTGAATAAGTCAGCTGGTTTGAGGACGAAACGTCGGATAAACTTGCTAACAAGTACAGATGATGGGTGAGAAACCTTCCTTTGCTTTGACTAATCCCTGTACGACTGAGGGCTTACACAAACTTATTCTACGGAGTTTCTTTACCTTGGATAGAGCCGATTATCACCACCGTACTGTCCTAGCTCCACCTTCAGGCAGAAAATACTTTCTTTCATTTCACCAATCACTGCTGCACCTCTATTCAGCACTCAGTACACCAATGTATGAAAGGTTCTCTATACAGACATATATACACACTAGCATACATACACATGTTTGCACATACATAACTACATATGTAACCCTGTTTTATCTTAATGGTGGGTGATCATTCATGTTTTTATACCCATACTGGTAATAAAGCAAAAAATAATAATATATAAAAAAAAAACTATTGACCCTGTAGTGATTTATTAGTATTATTTTCTGTCATATTTTACTCATATCATCTTTTTAAGATGTGATTTGAATTGATACTCGAGCACTGCTTTAGCTCTTGGCTCAGGCTGTTCCAGAGCTTCCCCCCACAGACAGACACACACCAACTCCTCCTTGTGGTCCTGATGGCTGGGAGTTTAAAGTTACTACATCCTCTCAAGTTATGCTCATATTCTTTTTTAATGAATGTCTTTTAAATATTGACTGGTAGAGTTTTTGCATTAGCACCAGCAATTGTGCAGTGTTTAGATTAACCAGGTCTTCCAATTTAAGAGTTTTGATTTAAAAAAAAGTTCAATTTTTCATCCATTATTCATTATACCTAATAATAATAATAACAATAATTCTGATTTGCTTTTGTAGTTGCCAAACATCATTTCGTTTTGCTTAGATTCAGTGAGAGCTTTTCGGCATCCAGCCATGATTTTAATTTGGCTAGCTCAAAGATAATTGTATTAATAAGATTGGTATAGTGAAGTCCTCATTTGATTAGAAAATATTGGTATCATCCGCAAACAGAATCATCTTTAGTGAACTGGAAATGCTAAACATGTCATAAATATAAACATAAAACAATGTTGGTCCTAATAATGACCCTTGAGGAACACCACAAGTAATGCAAAGTGTAGTTTCCCATTTTCCCAAACTGCATTCTGTCTGTTAGGTACCTTTTGATCCAATTCTGGGCAACTCATCTTATTCCATATAATTCCAGTTTATTGATAATTATAGTATGATTTAATGTGTTGAAAACTTTCTTGAGATCTATGAATATCCCTGCTGCATATTTGTTCTTCAATTATGGCCATTGTTGATGATCTATTCCTCCTAAACCTGTACTGACTTTTATGTATTATGTTGTGTTTATCAATAAAAAAAAAGTGAGACTGGTCTGTAGTTTGCAAAAATGTGTTTGTCACCATTTTTGTGGATAGGTATCACTTTAGCATGTTTAAATTTTTTTTGGAAATAAAGGATAGATTATAGATACATGTAAATGGTTTTCATATACTCATAGCAACTTTTTAAGTGTTATACTAATTCCCTAGCAATCTGTTGACATTTTATTTTTTACATTTATTTGTAATACTAATTACTTCAGCTTCGCTAGTTGGTGGTAAAAACATTGTGCCAGGATTTCTGCTAATGCCAGATGAACTGCAGTTAGTTACCTGGATTTGCGATGGAAGGTCTGGTCCAAAATTTTCAAAGAATTTGTTAAAGCTATTGACGACTTCATTCATATTATAGTTTTCACTATCTGTCATGTCTTCCCCTTTATTAGTCCCTCGCTGATCCTCTGCAGGTCTACGGGAAGATGGCTTCTCCGTCATCAACGAGATGGCCTTGGTCTTTCAGCGGCGGGCTTCAGGCAATGTGGGGTTAAGTGTTTTGCCCAAGGACACAACGACATCAGACTAGAGTGGGAGCAGGTGACATGGGTCGTGGTGAGCTCGAACCCACGACCATTAGGTCCAAAGACCAGTGCTCTACCAACTGAGCCAGTGTCGCCCTGTATACTGTTGAATATGCTGGTGGAATGCCCGGAGGGATGCCAGAGGGCATGGCCGGAGGATTCCCTGGAGTTGTTGGTGCTGCCCCTGGGGGTGGCTCCACTGGACCAACCATTGAGGAGGTCGACTAAACATTCAAACATTCACTACCTTCAAGCTGCTGAGAAATATTCCCTCTTGAGGTCGACCTTGTAGAGTCGACCTCAAGAGGGTATATTTCACTATCTTTTTCTATATAATAATTTGGGTATGTACAGTACCATTGTTAGGCCCGAGCCCCGAACGAGGAAAGGGCCTATTGTTTTTGCTCGAGAGATGTCAAATTCTTTGAGCCTTAATTTGACTCCCTGAACATGCATGAAAAGTTGTAAAATGTTGCCCAAACATCAGACCTGGTGAAAAATGTGATATTTTGGTGTTTATTTTTATGGGACTCAAAAAATACCAGAACAGCGCCACCTACAACAGCCGATGGGAGTTTCAGAGGTCAAGTTTGTCGTAGATTCTATTTGCTCCCGTTTGCACATACAAATTCCGATTTGCACAAAACTTGAATCCATGGTTCACCTCTAGGTGAACCATGGATCAAATGGTCATTTGAAAGGGAAATATTTGAAATTAGCCCATTAGCGCCCCCTACAGACTGAGGCAAAGTTTTACATTGGAAGCCAAACCAACTCAACTCATCATATTCATTACAATTTCACAACCTTTCTTTTATGGCTACGGGACCAAATAGTGGTGCGGTAGCGCCACATCCAATAAGCGGTGCGGCAAAGCGTGGCGCGGGGCGGCGTGGCGTGGGGCAGCGAGGCGTGGCGCAATGCGGCTTGGTGCAGGGCGGTGTGGTGTGAGGCGGCGTTGTGCGCGGCGACGTGGTGAGAGGCGGCATGGTGCGGTGCAGGGAGTCGCACGGTGCGGTGAGGGCCGTTCGACGCCGCTTATTATTATTATTTTTAATCTTTCCATTTAATATGGCCCATACTTTTTTGATATTTGTTCTGTTTACACCCAATAGATTTGTATAATACATTTTCATATTTACTCTTATAACCTAATTAACTGATTAATAGGTTTTTATAGTTCTTATATTTAGTTTCAGATTCTTGTGTCCTCAATCTGAGTAATTATCCATAAAGCCTATTCTGTTTTATACAGGATTTATTCAGTCCTCTGGTTAGCCAGGGACACTTACCTTTTTGTATTTCTGTGATGTTGTATTGGACAGTAGTGATTGTACAGTGCTATGAAAGGATTGAGAAAGATTTTGTTTGCTCTGTCCACATTTGTCTCCCTGTAAATGTTGTTCCAGTCCTGTTGCATCAAAGCCTTGTTCGGTGCAAGGTACTATAAAAACCAGCAAGTGGTCCATTGTATCACATATCATTAATCCGCTTGACATGCAGGAAAAATCTTATCAATTGAGGTAGGTATCTATACTAGATCCAGGGGATCTATACACACAGCTTATACATTTTTATTTTTTTCATTTTATATTTCAACTGTTAAATACTTGTAAAGTAGTAACCCTCATTTTATTTAACCTATTCACATATTTTAAAGTTTACTCATTTCAACCTTAAACCAGGTTTCAGATACGGCTATGATGCATAAGGGTTGTGACAAATGTCTGAGATACTCATAGATTGAAATCAGCATACATACTTGCATACATACTTCTGCTATTGAAGTGTGATATTGAAAGCTTGTTGGATATATTTGGATAATTGCTTGGATAAAGTTCGCCTGCAGTGTAATATTTGCTTTCTTCACAACCGTGTGCCCAACTCGATTGTTTACAATAGGAGAATATAATTTCCATTTATGTCATCACTATACACGCTTCTCATCAACAATTACTTCACATTACAAACATTAAAATACTTTTGTAAATATTCTCAAGCTCATGTTTAAATGCTACCATGAGTAAAACAGTGCCTTACGTTGTTGATCTTGAGTTTGCTCTTGGTCTTGTCTTGTTTTTGCAAGTGTCCGGAGAGCTGGTACAGAACGGCTCGACTGCGGCGTCGCTCTGCGCTGAAGCCCGAAGGTTGATCTACACGGTGGATCTGGAGGCCCGTCTCCTCATCTGCAAAGCGCAAAACAAACACAATTATTAAGTGTATCCCAAATGTTGCTCAAGGTTCCTATTGAGTATGTTGTCAAATATTATGAATATGCATTTTTTTTTTTACTATTTTCAATGTTGCTCCCAAACCGGTCTGACCACTCTGCGTCCAGTCTACATGTGAGCCTTTATTCAAGTGAACCTTATTTAAGCACTGAACTGTAATTGTTAGGGGGTGTCACGATTCGCCAAATCCACAATTTGATTTGATTTCAGATTTTAGAGTCACGATTTTATTCACAATTTTCCACCACCAAATAAGGCTTCAGATCTGCTGCACTAAATAACACTATGGCGCTAATTATAGCTTTAGCACGAGCTGAGGTCTGTGGAAGTTATCTTTGTGACATTGGCGAATGTTTCTTGCTATGGCCGTGTCTGGTACACGCTAGTGATGGGCAAATGAAGCCCCGTAACACACTGAGGCTCTCTTTACCTGATTGTTTCAAATGTGTCAGAGCCTCTGAGCTCATACTAGATTGTAACACTGACATCATTTAATCATTGCATCTTCTTCACTATGAAACATAAATGATACAAATTACTTATTTGAAAAAAATCATAGGATGAGACAAGACCCTTGTTTGGTTGAATCAGAAAAAAACGATAAAGGAAACTGTAGGGTTCCTTGTGAAGAGATTAATAAACTAGCAAACGTTTTTACATCTAAGGATTATTTATTTACCCAGCCATGTTGACACAATGCGCAGTTATTACATCCCCATCTTTTTTTTGATTAACTTTCAGGTATGAGTTGGCGTTTTAGATGAACACTGTTAAGGTTTGACCTGAAAAGAACACAGCATGTTGACGCATCATTTTGTTGATGACAAGTTCATACACCAATCGTTACTTACAGTACACGGCTCTTTACGATGCATATTTGTCCTTCAGGACCTTAACTGCGAGTTCCAAAACCCACCCACAGACGAAAAAGTCCAAGCCTTCATTTTTTTAGCAGTGCAAAAGCTTGATTGTAACATTAGATAGTTTGAGATATCCGGGAACTCAACTGGCTGGTATTTTTCTAACTCGCAAGTCAAATCATTCTTTTGACTTGCGAGTTATTCAAAAATACTGCCTTGTGCATATTGTTAGAAGGATGAGTTAGAACTTTAACCACAGTAGCTTCAAAGTGTCATAAAATATCAGCAGCCATTTTTGTTGGCCTGACCACCACTTCATTAACCGGAAGTTGATGCGTGACGTGACAGCAAGAATAGCTCCTATGTGTTTGTCATTATCGCATTTCCTGCGTTCGAACCGTTTAAACTGACATTGACAACTCTGTAAAGTCCTCCCAGACAATTGCTGTTGTGATTTAGGGCTATACAAGAATAAATTGAATTGAATTGGCACACAATCCTAATCAGCTCATCTCTTGCCACTGCAGCACATTCAATCAGGTTATCGCAACAACTTCAACCACAATTCCCATCAACTCGTCCACTTTCACCCTGTATCAATCTCTCCTCCTTCCTCAGCCCAAGCTCGGTCACCAGAGTCTTCTCAAGATCGCGGGTAAAGCTCCTATCTGCAGTCTTGATCGTCGCCTGGGCTTCTTCTGGGCTCATAAGAACGTGCAGCTTTGACGTTTTCCTGGTGTCTGAATCTCTCCTCGTCGAAAAGAAAATGGAGACCTACAGTTTGTATGACATGAGTCGTTAAATGCCCTGCGAAGAAAGTTCAAACTTATTTGTAATCCATATTCTTCCACCAGTTGTTTCCCACTCTACCCTACAGTTCCAATGTAAATCGATCCAGTCAAGAACACCCAGCAATACCAAATAAGATTCATTCTCAAAGCTGGTCTACCCATATCAAACCAAACGGCCTTTTTAAACATGCAATTGCGTTCTAAGCCTTTGAATAATGACTGGGAAAAGGTCGCAGGGGTGATTAAAACCAGTTGCAATACATCAGTTTCTCTGAGCGATGATCAGTCCGGAGCTCCGAGCCAATATCTATAAAGGCTTTTCAGACGGAGCCACAGCTGCAGAGTCTGCGGCCGTCATCTCATGTGAATTACAGAGGAATAAAGCACCTTTTCTCAGTTATATTGCTCTCGCCGGTGAAGACAGAAGAGAGATTTCATTGCAAATGTATTTTTTTTTATAGTCGAATGATGTTTGGATCAAGGATTGGTTTAAGACTGAGATAGGGACTTGCAAAAAGAGTTAATAAAGATTGTGGTAGAGGAGTACTCAAGTTGACATTTGAGTTGGAAATTCTGTAAATATGTATTCCTTTAATTTTGCTTTTTGAGGCGACAGTAGGATGACTCTCAGCTCTACTCACCGGTCTCGGATTCGTTGCCGTGGTTTATATTTTCGGTGATGTCTTTGTGTGAAACCAGAAACAGGACGACTTCGCTTTTCTCGTTCTTGATGGGAACGATGTCCAGCAGACACCAGAACTTGCAGCCTGAGATCAAAAGAAGACAAGTTAAATTCCAATTTATGTTTTTAAAAGTATGACAATAAACTTTGGGTATGACTGAAAATACAAGATTGTATATAGGGTAGGGCGCTTGGTCACCCGCAAAGAGCTCAGGGTAGAGTCGGCGCTCCTCCACATCCAGAGGAGCTTCTCTAAGATGAGCTTGCTCGAGGGAGTGTGCGGAGTGGGAAGTCCAAGCATCTCTATTTAGACCGCAGCCTCCGCGATAAAACTAAAGGCTGATGTGTCAGGGCCAGAATGAATACAAACTAGAACATGCCCGACAACATTTGAAACTGGGGATTTCCAAACATCACTCCCCATCTCCCAAATATATCAGCTCTATCTGTCTTGATTTTTCCAGCCCATACACACACACACACACACACAGGTTATGTGCTGTCTGGTCCCAGCCCCCTCCAAGTAATATAGACAAACTTACACACGCACTTACATACGCCACAGAGACAATTACAATACCTCTATGTGAGCAGGGTGATAATGAATACTTTCTCAGATGAGAAGACGATATGGAGAACGTTCATTTGTTGTTATAAGGATAAATTAGTATACCATTTTAATTACATATTTAACTCATTGACTGCCAGCCGTTTTTGATTATTTCACTGATTCTCAAGACCCACAGCATATTATGTGCTATGACGATGTGAAATTTGAAACCAGATTCTAAGAGACTGGATTGTCTACTGTCATCAGCAAAAATATGTTTGTTTATAGCTATTTTTGTTATCCCCAATGGAATATAGGGAAGTTTGACAGAAATCACCGGTCTCTGACAAGTACGTCAATGGCAGTCAAGGAATTAAAGCTGGGGCACATCACTTTTTTCCTCATAAATAGTATATGGTGTGTGTCCTCAATGAATCAGACCACAACCGAAAGAGCCCTGAGAGTCACTATTTGACCATTTGAGCTGAGAGCTGATTTTCCGTGTGGGGGTGGTTCTTATTTTCACTTGTATGTCTGAAACATCTGGTCTTAAGATGGAACAGAGGCCAAAACTACATTCATGTGAAAACTAGGCAAGGAGAGGCAAGGCAAGTGTATTTGTATAGCACATGCGACATATGAACTGCAGGCAGCCATTCCCATTGGCCACCCGATTCAGCTGTCACTCAATAAAAGTTCTGTCATGGTATCACATGCCCTCTGATCTCACAAACTTCCTGTTCCGTGTGCTCCTCAACCACCTCGAAGCGTTGGTAAAGTAGTATACATAATGCTAATGTTATAAGTATACATATTCCTGATGCTACTGCTATAAGTATACATATTCCTAATGCTAGTGTTCATTGTTTAGTTCCACAGTGAGGCCCCGAGCCCCGCACTGTGTCTCCAGAGTGTTGGGTGTGCGTTGCGTAAAGTTCTGCACTACATGCTGTGCTACGTCTTAAAATAGTACGTGAGAGTTTAAAGCATAGACATTGAGATATAGCGCAGTGACCCATTGATTTCTCCAGGTGACGTGGTTGCCCGGCCAGAGCCATTTTTGGGGAGTATTTAGTGGGGGACTGCAGCCTTTCGTCTGCCTGTTGCCCACATGTCGCCTGTTGCCAGTCTGTGTCTCTCGTTCCTTTCCTCTCTGGGAAGTTTGGACATAAGGAACTAGTTACATGGATTTTAGTACATGTCTTGAAAGTTACGTACCCCAGTTTTAAGATAAGAAGGAGAAATCTGAAATGAGGAAGTATCATCATATTCAAATGTCACCAAGGCCTCACCGCTCTTCTTGTACAGTATAATCTCCGTCTTGAACTCCTTGCGTTCGTCCAGCGCGGTCTGCATCTGCGCCGTCAGACTGTCGCTGGTCTCGCTGCCGTACAGGAAGTGGCACATGCAACTCTTCTGCATCAGTTCTCCTCGAGCGAACCCCGTCAGCTCGCAGAAGCCGTCCGAGCAGTAGACGATGGGGTGCAGGCTCTGGACCTGCGCGTTCCCCAGCACAAAGTTACTGTCTGTGGGGAGAGCAGAGGGCAAAGGGACTGGTCAGCACTGGTTTGGCTCTTATGGTTTTAGTGCTTAACAGAAAGTGGGAGAAAAGTGAAATGTTAGACCACAACATCCAGTCCTGCATTGCAAGGCTTCTGTCCTCGTTCTACAGCCTGAGTCCTGGATCTACAGCCCGTCGGCCCATGGGAGCAGATCCCTCCCTCAATGTGGGCCTTTCTCGAGGTTTCTCACTTTTCTCCCACTGGGTTTTTACAGTTGTTCCTCTGAGGCAGTAGGATCTAAGGACAGTGGTGGTGATCCAGGACGATCCTCATTCAACCACATTAATGGACTTGGTCACCTGCCCCTTATGGACTAATGGCTCTAGCTTTAACTTGACTTCTGATAGATAGTTCTTCTGATAGATAGTTGGGATGCACTGCAAAAATTGGCAAAAAAAAAGGCATAACATTACTTGAATTCAGGATAAATTATTACAGTAGATCATCCGGTGTGTATGTATTGCTTAGGGTTAGCTAAGGTAATGCAAACCACCAAAATGGTAATTATTTAATAAACCGTTTGGTTCTGTCACAAGTTTTCATGTGCATTTATTTTTGGCTCTGTCAAATCTTTAGATTAATCTATGCTTATATTCAAATATACTTTATTTTACTACTTTTATTTTCTCCTCTACCGTCCCGCTGGGGGGTTTTACCTACTGTACATGTTTTTAGCGGGAGGGAAGACCGGTGCACCCGGAGGTAGACATAGGGAGAACATGTAAACTCAACCATCGTGTCGCCCAAGATCAGCTTTTTCAGACATGAAAGAGAGAGGTCCACCTTCACTCGGCCCAAAGAGTCAAATAGTGACTTATAGGCTCTTACGTACAAGCCAAGGCACAATCTTTTCTAAAAAGATGAAGACAGCCAGTTTTGGTGTGACTTGTTCTCCTGATTTTACCTTACCTAATAATGTATAATTTATAAGGATGTATTCGACTTTGTTAAGTAAATATTCAATTTTAGATGAATAATTAAACATTGCCTGCGGATAATTTAGACATTTCCCAAGATTGGCCTGAAATGTAGCCTCTGGTATTAGTAAAAACACTTCATAAACAGACCTGGAGTTGATTTTCGAATAAATGCATATTTCCCATAAACTACCAGAAAGTTTGGCTCCTTTGATTCAATTCTTCCTTAAAACTATGAAATCAATTGTATGCAAAATCCTGCAGTGGTCTGTGTCATCGTTCTCATTGGCCGTAATAGAGGCCGGCACATAACACAACACGTTTGACAGACCAAGATCTATCGCAGGCCTGATTTGGCATTTCAAAGCATGCTTCAAACCCACAAAAATAACTTACAACACACCGCAGCTGTCATCGATTTGTTAGAGATGTCAAAAAGCTAAATTAACATTTTGGGGCGCAGCTCTTTCTGCTTTTTGTCCTCGTTTTTTGGTGCAAAAAGCCAAATCATATTTCACACTCGTAAAGATGTCCTGAGGGAAAGTTCAACCACCGCTGCTTGCTTTGCTTTTTGTTTCATGTTTGGTTCACCTCTAAAAGCATGCTGTCATATTAAGAAACGTTAGTCTTTGGTTAAATTCTAAGGCTGGTTTTCATCATAGGCTGTAAAAGAAGACATGTAACCTGCTATCTCCATGAAACTCAATAGGGAAGTGCTCGTGGATGAAGTTTTTTCCTCCAACTCGCACTGGCTCTGTAACCGTTTGGGTCATACTGTACTCACCATTTTCGCCTCGTGATCCTGGTGTTTATAATTTTTGTCTATTGTTAATCCAGATACTGTATGAGCCATAAGGGTTGACTTAAGCTAACACTGTCGAAACAATTACCTATATGAAGAAATGTAAAATGATCAACCCAGTCTCTTCCACATTTGGCAAGCACTAAGGTGAGCTAATGGTCAGTCCACTTCCATACCTTCTACGGGTTTGGACTCAGAACTTGTCTCAGTCTTGTCGCATTTTTGGATGGCGTCGTTCTGGTTATAGGCTACTCTTACTTTACCCAAACTTCGACCTATTACTAGCTGTAGTTAGAATAATTATTATGATAGTTCGGGTTTTAAAGACTGCTCAAGTCAGAGATACCAAGCGAAGGCAGGCTGTGTTCATAGATACAATGTTTCTCTTGACCATAATTTGATTACGGTCAAGAGAATTATTAGATTCACAAATCAGCCACAAATCAGCCATATTACTTATATGTCTAGAAGCCATTTATACTGAATATTGTCACCACTTCTAGGCACCTTTTATGAGAAAATAATTAGACCAGATTTGAGTGCGAGACCAGAGAGAGACCATAGTTGATATGAGCTGACAAAGAAGACAGTTTTTGTAACATATATTTGGCCCAGGGATTACAGAGATAACTATGATTTATGATGTCACATGAAAGAAAACTTGGAAATTTGATTTGATTTGATTTTAATTTAATCAAAAATAAAACATTTCTCTCTTTTAATGCAATCCTACCATGACATGTTTTTTTAGCCCTGGCATTTTCACATTCACCGTTGGAGACATGTGAGTGGAACCACAGAAGTCGTTCGTCCAAAGGGGAGAAGTTTCACAGCAGCACACTTCACCGCACGGCACCGAGACCACAGCAAGATCTGGACCAACAGCGCGGAAAACCAATCATCGTCACCCCAAAACACCTCGTACGCTGCTGCTCCAAGAGGACAGCAGTGCGAGGGGACAAGAGCATGAGGTCCATGTGGCATTTTACTTTTATTTTGAATATTTATCTGAACTGAAAATAGCTGGCCCTGTGTATAAAGATCTCAGGTCATTGTTGTGCTCAGTGGAATCCTTTGATATCAAAACTCTTTCTACCACAAATACTTACTCAATAGTTGTTCCTTCCAAATCTCAGGGGCAGGTTCTGGGTACGGAGCTCAAACAAGCAGACAGTCATCAGAAATATAAATAGAACAGACCAAAGTCTTTTGTAGTTTTGAGTTGTTACAGAGAAGTATCACTGGTTTATTCACTTGTGTAACATGAAAACATCTTTTTGTATCCAGCAGCTTACAATTATGTTGATGGAGAGGTGTTTATTTCTACTTTAGTCCTAATTGAGTTTTGAAGTGGGCGGAGCTTCAGGCCTCTGTAGTATAATAATTTCATTTCATTTCATTTCATTTCATTTTCAACCCCTTTGTCCATTTCTGGGTCGGGGGGGTGGCAATGAGAGCTGCCACCTAACGCTCATAGCACCGGTCCCTCGCTGATCTAGTATAATCATGGATCTATAATAATAACTGGATAGGGTATTACTAGCTTATAGCTGTCCCACCCATGGGCACAGGGGGCGCCCGTGGTACTGCAGACTAAAATCACGTGGGCCACCCAGAAAAAAAATCCCATAGAACTCAATGTAAATTAAAACAGCTCGACCTCAGTTGACAGAGAACCTACAGCTTTCAGAAATATCGGATTTTGTGGGGATTTTAGTGTCCCTTGTCATCCTGAACTTTTTTTCTTTTTAAATCCTTCAGTTCTCTTTAAATCCACAATTTACTGCCACAAACTCTGCTCCTTTCCTTCCCACTCTGACTCCGCTCTGCTGCTGTTCTGATCAGCAGCTCTGATTTGTCAGAGCGTGGCCGAGCCACACACGCACGTTTGGCGCAACGCATCATGGGAGCTCGTCCACTGCGCAGAACTGGGAGGACCAGATGATGCCCGAATATAGGCGAGTTCTGCTAATCTCCCGGTCTCCATGAAGTCCCATGCACAAGCCATTCATTTGAATAGGACGCCATCTTGGATCACCAGGGCTTGAGTATAATCCACCTCTGTAAGTGTAGTCAGCTTGGGTTGAAACCAGTTCTGTGGTGATGAAGCGACCTCAAAGTCAGATGTAGGTGAACACTTTGATATCAATATATGTTTTCGGAAAAATGTAAGTGCAGAGATCTTTGTCCTAGAACTACATTATCCAGAATGCTTAAGTCCATGAGGATACAGTGAGGCTTTTGATTGGTAGAGCTACGTTCCTCCGTGCATCGCTAGCAAAATATATATTTTTAACAACAAATGTTGTTAAAAATTGTGTAATGATTGTGTGCAACTTTTATATCTCTTTCAGACTTGCAGATGCTTTTTAGCCAAAGAAAACTCACCTAAGTCGTTAATAACCTGTTTCCAAGACCCCCTGGTGTCTTGGAAACACCATTGGAAATGGAAAACATTACGTCTTCTTTTTAGATTAGAATAAAACTAAATTTGTAATATGATAGTTACAAATATGATAATTTGTAACTATATTCATCATAGTTACAAATTATGGCATAGCTGATTTGCTTTTGCAGTGTCTTTACACTCTTGAGATTAGGGCTAGACAATAGTGGAGATTAGAGCGATATTTGATATGGGTGTTTAGTTTCTAGATAATAATATTACAGTGATATTTTTGTCTTTCAACTAAAAATGCAATCTGTATGAACCGCATGAGAAAAATCTCGAACAAAAGTTAAGAACAACATAAATTACATTAAAATGCAGTATGGCACACATACTAACCTCAAATTATGGGTGGGAGATATGGGCAAAAATAAATGTCTCAATATTTTTTCCCAACTCCCAATAACAATATTGTCACGATATCTTTAAAATCATTATTTTTTACACATATTGATCTGCGATGTTTTGCTTGCCAGGGCATCTATAGGTAGAGACAGTGTATATCAAAATAGCAGCTTTTTTTGTAAAGTTCTTCACACATCTTTGCAAAACATGCACAAACATATATTAACATTAAAAATCAAAGGCAAGTAACACAGGAAGAACACATCCAAAAAGGCTTACTCAATATTTATTGAAATGTACAAATAAAGCAGTGATTGGCTTTTTAGGCACGCATTTGATGAGGGGGCAACTGGCCATCTCTAATTGTAACATGTATATGTAAAACAAAAATCTTCAAATTCACTTTTGCAATATTATTGTCTACAAAATATATCGCCCACACCTACCTCAA